ATAATAATAATAATAATAATAATAATAATAAATAATCTGAAGTAAGAGTTAGTTTTCTTCTGTGCATCTTGGTAATGGCATCCGAGAGGGTCTTAGCACCCTCATCATGCTCCCATACGCTCGGTCTTCCATTGCTGATCTCCGTTGCTTCATCATCACTGATTCACGGTGGTGAATACCATGAGATACTTTCGAGTGTCTTAAATCAATCAATATCGCAAGGAGATTATACTTCTTTTCTTCATTATTGATTCTGGCGCTAGATTTTATTCTACATATACTGCACTCGCCCTGCGCTCAGCTCTGCTGTGCTAATCTCCGTTGCTTTGTCCTCGTCGAATCCACGAGGCCGATCGAATGAGATCTTTCGAGCGTTTTCGTGAGTACTATCGATTGGATATAAGCCTCGACGTGATCAGATACTTTAATTTAATTCGCGTAACGTTTATGCAAGTTCGTCACTATTGCATCCCTAGTCATTACATGCGGAATTATTTTCGTCCTACATTTGATCTCTGCTCGCTCCTTATTGTAGCTTTCTCAAGTCGGAGCGCTAGTCCTGTCCTCCATTATGCCGAGGTATTTATACCCTTGAGTTCCTTCCAAGAGTACCGCCATATCAGCGCAAAGCTCAGTATTAGTGGCTGATTTCGTTGGGTTCACCTCTAACCCTACTATTTCAAAGAACTTCTGGACTTCTTCGGAAGTAGCTTTCATGATATCCTCCTCGGTAGCAAGAAGCTTGAGATCATCCACAAATAGTAAATGATTCGTTGCATGCATTCCTTGATCGGTGGGAACCTTGTATCTGATATTAGTCCTATGGCTCAGCTGGTCCATGCATTGCTTCATATCCAAATCAAACTTTAATTTTTTTCAGACAATTTGTAACATGCAGAAGCTTTACATGCTACTAAAGTGAAAGCGAAAAATCTTATCAAGTGCATTATATTTAAATGCATATTTTTTCTTCATTACAGATCAGTATAACAATAAGTATTAAAATTTGCATGTTTGCAAAAATTGTACTGAATCACTCAAATACTTGTAGTCGTGGCTTTTTTTTTAATTCGTTGAAAATCCGACTGAAGGTTCATCGTCAGAGAATGGACAAGTAAGGCTTGTATAGTTTTTCAACAAAACTTTGTTTTAAAACTATTCAGTTAAAGAGAAACTTTCTGTTTCTGAGATCAAGTGATCAAAACTTCCATAAACTCAATCGAATTTTCTCTCTCTGTGCAAATTTTCCACCTATTCTTGCTAAACTAAGTCCAAAATCCCTTTGAAAATTTCAATAAATCAATTTCTGTAGCTACTTCATGACAAGATATCAATTGTTTAACTTTCATCAAATACTGTCAACTTAATATGGTATGATTTCTGAACCGTAAATTTGACTTCTACTGCAGTTGAGAGATGGAAAATAGTTTGACTTCTTGATTCTCCCTCAGAAAAGAAAATTTTCATTGTTTTTTAAAATAATTTACTTCGAATTTTTCAAAATCAGTCAATATCTGAATGGTAGCCGATTTTTATATCAAGTAGAGTTTCCTGAAATATCTCAAGCAGCATGCTTTGCCGCCATCTTATCGTTATTATCCTCATTGGAGGTTTGTTTCTCTCTACTTCTTGGAATTTTTCAAAGGCAATTTTTCATTGCCTCTCAAGTCATTTCGATCTCAACGAAATTGCAATCGAAGGATATACGTATTCATAAACTTCTAAATAATTCCTCTGAAACTTGCAGTAATTTGTATTCATGAATCAAGTACTGAGTCCACTGCGGTGCTTGCAGATGGCTTTGGCAGTTTATACTGCATTATACGTTAAAAATTTCATGAATCGTTCAACTGCATCTGTGTTAGCAGCAGAAAATTTATCAGAGACTGTACACAAACAAGCAGTATTTTTTGTTCATTTATTGCTAAAAATTGAGATCAATGACAAATAGATCTGAGAAATATAATCGCATGAATTTAATGACCTAATTCAGTTTTACTTTTGAAATGTTGCATCGAGTCTTCAAAAATGGAATCAAAAAAGACAGTACTGAATTCCTCTCTAAATATTAATGCTATTTTAAGTGTTGCACTGACATTCATCGGTCAACTTTAATGTGCTGATGACTCCGTCTTTCTTTTTTTTGCTTACCATCAATAGACTTATTAACAAAAATACCACTGGTTTTATTTCAACCTCAGCTTTGAATCGCCATTCGGGTAATATAAGTCCATAGCTTGGCTTAATTTATTCTCGTGATAAGCAGTCATCAAAGGAGCGGTCATCAACAACTCATTTTTTGCTTTTTTAATTCTTCAACGTTCGATAAAATTCCGAATTGTGAAAATTAAAATGGAAACAATTGTAAGTTAAATTTAATTCGTGACAAAAATAAAATATTTTTAACATGGAACAAACCACAACGGAAGCCGTGAGAAATGATGTGCGAGAATTCAATGATGCAGTTTCGAATACAATTGAAGCATTAATGACCGGTGAAACAAGATATAGAGTGCGTTTAAAATTCCAAAGCTTTAACTTGATTTATCGATCGCACTCAAAAATTACCGAAAAATATGCTTTTTGTTTAAGTGCAAAGTGTGGATGACGATTACTGCACCTCCGAATTCCTTAACTGTTTTCACTTGCAAGCGGCAACTGAATTAAATTTATTGGTTTGCTTGAATATAAGCTGAAAGCAAACAGTGCGATTGGTTATTGTTATTGAAAGTAAACAAATTACCGTCGAGTAACTTGGAATTCCAGAAAATTCCCTAATCAGTATGTAAGACGAATAAGCGAGTACTTGTACTGCAAAAAAGCAAAAAAATTGCGATATAATGAATACAACGAAGCGATTATATTGCAGTTATTAATGGAGGAAGAGATAAATCGAGAAGCGACAAAAGTAATTTATGGCGTGATAACTTAATGACGCGTAATTGGAAGATACAGCAGTTAAATTTCCCGCCCGAATGTGCACCATTTTTCCTCGTCGAAGGTGAAAAAATGCAGTGATATGTTATAGACTGGTTTGTTTCCAGCAACATAAAAAAGAAATATTACGCAAAGGATTTGTAAGAATAAAAAAAAATTTCTTGAAAGCGCCCATGTTCAAGTTTTACAGACCCAAGCAAAGCATGAAAACTATCCATTTTTTGAGTAGATGGTTAGTCGTTGTAAGAGCGTTCAGTAGCACTGGTCACATGTATCACGTTCTGACAGCCTGAGACAACCCATTTTCATTGAGATGTCATTATTGGCATGGACTGTGCGTTGCTGTTGTTCGCTAGAGGCGTGAATTAAAATATTTACAAGCTATCCCTTAGTCAAATGGTTGTGGTTGACGGCGCTGACCAGAGGCCCACTACGTCTTCACAGCAGGATGAATCGTCCGATGTGATGCTAGCACTTCAAAAATATCAGGTGACCCTATCTACTTCATTATATTTGTTCTAGCTGCTACAAATTTATTTTAACTTTTATGTAAGTTACATTCTGTGATTTTTAATTTCTTTTTATCTGAGCGCTATGTTCTATACGTTTCTTGTTGAGCATCGTTGTTAGTGATCGCTTATTTTTTTTAGATTAAATGATATAAATACTCTTAATATTAAATTATATAATATTAAATGAAATAAATGTGGCGGATAGTTTTCGTCTTTGCTTTATTGGTTCTGGCGCTGGGTTGCATTCCGGTACTCTGGCTGTACTCGTCTTGCGCTTAGATTTGTTGTACTCATCGTTTTCGCTTCGTCCTCGTGGAATCCATATCGATTGTCGAAGGAGCTGCTCTCGAGCGTCTTCTTGAGAACTGTCGATTGAATGTATGCCTCGACTTGGTCAGATATACTAATCTCCTTCTCCTTCGCATAGCGTTTGTGGAAAAAAAAAGCAAACCCATCAAAAAAAAATTATATCACGACTATACTGGAAGATACTATGAGGTTGCGATGCATCCGTTTGGGATTGCAAGAAGTATGGTCTAAAAGCATTCCTGCGCATGCGAAGCCTTTCTATTCAGGTAGTCGTGCAAATGATAATGTAGAGATCAGAGTCTATACGTGAGTAAGAACGGTTATTAAGATAAGTGCGGATCGACTGGATATTATGGTATTTAAAAGAAGTGACGTAAATCGTAGTAGAAGTTAGCATCGCCAGTTAAGACAGGTTGACAGCACTCGAGACGAGAAAAACGCAAATATGACCTACTGACTTATAGACTTGGGTCAGAGATGAAATGCAGGAGCAAAATAATTTCGTATGTGTTGTCTTGGAAATGGATTGTAATTTCGATAAATGCCACGTGAAAGAAATCAGTATATCTGATCATGTTACTGTGTTCTACCTGTGCACGTCGAAGCATGTAATCAATCGATGGTCTTCAAGAAGACGCTCGAAAGCATCTCATTCGATAAACCGAGCAATCTTCTATATATATAAGGTGGGGACAATAACTGTTATGTGTTGCACATGATATTGCTTGGCTCTGCCAACACATACTTAACAGTCGTCATTACAAAGCATGAAGACAAAAAAACAAGATATGAATAATAAAAGAAAAAAACAGCCTGGAATCATTAATGGGAAACAAGTGAGGTTGTTGAAAAATGCTTCGTGAAGCACATAGGCAAACATAGGTGTATGGGAACCAGCGGGACTGAGTACGACCCAATGCGAGAATTAAGAAGACAGTAAAGACGATTTACTTCAGATCTGCTGCACATGATATATTTGTGTCTTATATATATTTATATATGTAAAGGAAAAAGTTACTGGTGGCCGTCGCTCCTGGAACAAATGACAAATAGTTTGTTTACGACATTTATTGACAATATATTTATTTATACGAAGTGGCGGCTTTCTTTATTATTTATTTATTTATTTTATTGTATGTTCATATATAAATATGAATTATTTCTAGGCAAAACGTATAGAAATAGAAGAGGAAGAAGCACGTAAACGTCGAGAAGATCTTTTATTAGATGTAGAAGATGGTAGCATGGATGATGTTTTCATTCCTGCAAGATTACGGAAAAAAGAAAAGGTTTGTCACGCTCGACTAATACTGTTTTCATCATCTTTTGCTTCAGTTTTGGCTGACTGAGATACCTAATTTTAATTAAATTTTTTACTGGAAGTGGGAATTATTATTTAGCATTTCGTATTTGTGTAACATTGAGGGTTTCTAATTTAAAAATGGTTCTCATTTTGGTTGCTTATTTAACATAATAGTGGTTTGCAAGTTTTAAAAAAAATTATCATGAATGTTGAGGCAGTAGGGGAGCACTTTTTTACGGCTACATGAGAATTGTAGTTTGTGATTTCAAGATGCATCGAAGAGCTTTACTAAAACAAGTGCTACATGCAAAAGGTGGTGCTCCCGATATTGACTTAGATAAAGAGGATTTTGAGTTTTTTGAACGGAAAAGACGTAAAAGAGAAGAAGAAAAGAAAGCTGAAGAAGCTAAAAAGTCACTTCTAGACAAACACAATGAACTGGTGGAAGCAGAAATTGGTAAGAGTAGAAAATTGAAATATGGCTCTTCAGTTGCTGTTTGATTATCAAGTAATTTTTTTTGGATTCTTTTCAGGCGACAAAAATTCAACTGAAAGGAAGCGTGAAGAAGAACAAAAGTTACTGGAGAGCGTCGCTCCTGGAACAGGTGATAAATAGTTTGTTTACGACATTTTATTGACAAAACCTGTTACTCGTTTAACCAAGAAGGAATTCTTCACTTTCCTATGCGATTAAAAAATTTGATGATGAGAATCAATTATACTATTCAGTTGAAATCTGATGTTTTGCAATTTTCACTTGGCTATTTATAATAGATTATAGGTAATATCAATATCACATTTTCTTTTAACGTGACTGAATGTCATGAAGAAGATATAACAATATTAGGAATTAAAAGAAGCACACTACAAATTACACTGTTGATATTGCCAGTGTTTTAGCACTTATGGCTGTCGCAGAAATTGCCAAAGGGGTAAAATATGAAGAATCAATTAAGACAAGGTATGCTTAGGCTTTTTCTCAAATATTAAAAAATGTTAAATTATGTTTGCAAAAGAAAAGAAAGTACTGAAGTGCTTGAAGAGTGAAATGCTTTAAGTTGGCGTCCTCCGCAACATATATTATCTATGAATGAAGAAGAACATACAGCAATGCGTCGGAAAAAAGGCATTTTAGTAGACGGGGAAGATGTTCCTCCCGCAATTGGTAGTTTTATCGTAAGTCTTTAAAATCACGCATTTTTTTGACCAAAAAAGTAAGTTTTTGTTGATCAGTTATGAGGTTATATAATTTTTTCATGATTATATGATGGAGAATAGTTTTAATAATTTTATCTCTGAATCTTTTAAATTTCTCTGTCTATAATTCTTTCAGGAAATGAAGTTTCCACCATCAGTAATCAAAGCTTTACGTGACAGTAAGATCATTTGTCCTACTGTTATACAGATGCAAGGGATACCAGTCGCGTATGTTTTCATATCATTCCTTGTATACACTAAAGCTTTTATCTCTTACATTATTCAGAAATTTTAGCCATGTAATCACATATAAAAATTTTTTAGACTTTCGGGACGTGACATGATTGGTATAGCTTCTACGGGTTCTGGCAAGACTTTGACATTTGCGTTACCTTTGATAATGTTTTGTTTAGAACAAGAAGTATCTTTGCCATTTCGACATGGAGAAGGACCTTATGGTTTAATTATTGTGCCATCGGTAATTGTAAGCTAGTCTTTAATTAAAAGTTTTTAAAATTGAGAGCTAAATGAACAACAAGTGAAATTTGTTTAGCGTGAATTGGCGAAGCAGATCCATGATGTCATTGAAAAATTGTTCGAAAATATTTGCTTAGGGACTAGATTTCCGAAACTACGAGTTGGCTTGTGTATAGGTGGATTACCTATTAGTGAACAGGCCAGAGTTTTTGAAAGGTATGTCTTGTAGCCAGTTCATTTCTACATTTAATGTTATTTTGTTTTAAGTCTTTTTTAATCAGTTTTTTATTTTAAAAAACTTTGCAGAGGAGTGCATGTTTGTGTCGCCACACCAGGTCGTTTATCTGATTTGTTAGGCAAGAAAATATTTAATTTACAAATATGTCGATATTTGGTGTTAGATGAGGCCGACAGAATGCTTGATATGGGTTTTGAAGAGGAAATACGTACAATATTTTCATTTTTCAAGGTTTAGTTCATTGATTTTCTTTACAGATCATTCTTACTTGAAATTTAGAGAGAGAAAAAAAAATTGAACTGTCAAGTTCGTTCTTCTGGTGCTGCTAGTTCGTATTTTATTTAATGATTGTGTTCTGCGTTAAATGGGTTCTAAAAAATGTGAAGTTTCTTCTATTTAGGGTCAGCGGCAAACTTTGTTATTCTCAGCAACTATGCCTCGCAAAATACAGAATTTTGCGCGATCAGCTTTGGTCCGTGCTGTCATTGTAAATGTGGGACGAGCTGGTGCAGCATCTTTAAATGTTACTCAGGAAATTGAGTATGTTCGAACTGACGAAAAACTTACCAGAATTCTTGATTGCTTACAAAAAACAGCTCCCAGGTTATTTTTTCCACTATTTTCAGTTTGCTAACAGATAATTTTATTAATAATACCTAATTATATATTAACAGTTTTGTACATAATTGATAGAAAAAATATCTTCTGTTTGATTTAGATAGATTTTTTTTAGTCTTTCTTGTCACGTTGCTGTGTGTGTGAAGAGTGGTAACGTTAATAAGGTTTGTTGAATCAGAAGGCACTAGATAGTATTAAAATGAATGATATTCCACTTCACTAGATTCTCTTATCACAAGGTTAAATTTAGAAAATTGCAGAGTTCTAATTTTTGCCGAGAAAAAAAGTGATGTGGATAATATTTATGAATATTTACTCGTTAAAGGAGTTGATGTGGCTTCACTGCATGGTGGAAAGGGTATATTTTTATATTGTGACCTCTACTGAATATTGAAGGGAATAGGTAATGGTAACTTGTTTTTCTGAGAGAACAATAAAATTGTATCTCAGAATCCAATGTTTATGTTTTATATGCAGCTAGAATTTTAGATCAGAGAGATCGACACACAGGAGTTGATGCATTTAGGCGGGGAGAAAAAGATGTTTTGGTAGCAACTGATGTTGCTTCAAAGGGTTTAGATTTCGAAAACATTCAACATGTGATCAATTTCGATATGCCTGAAGACATCGAGAACTACGGTTTTTTCATTTATTTAGAAAAGTTCTGTGTCACGTATTTAATTTTTCATGATAAAAGATGATTCTCATTATATTTTCTTAAATTTAGTACATCGTATTGGGCGTACAGGTCGTTCTGGGCGGAAAGGAATGGCGACAACTTTCATTAATAGAAGAGCAGGTTAATCTTAAATTCCGAAAATATAGTCAATAAATCTGTTATTTGACTCGAATATTTACTTACCGAATAAATTACGCTATAATGGTGTGTTAATTACAGATATATCTGTGCTACATGATTTACGAGCTTTGCTGCTTGAGGCTGGTCAAGAGTTACCCGTGTTTCTTCGAGATATGGGTGGTTCAGAACTACAGCAGCCTATTGATTCTACTGATGTAGATGATAAAGGTTGTGCCTACTGTTCTGGTCTGGGTCACCGAATTACAAATTGTCCGAAATTGGAAAATGTGCAAACTAAGGTTGGTTGTTTTTTTCTATTCTCTACAGGGATTTGTTTAATCGGATCATATTTCCGTTTAAAATGCTTTGAAAAATTTTGGAAGTATAAACTGAGGAAATCTATGAGGCGGTTTTTTAATCATAGTGTCAAGTATTTTTAAAAGACACAATGTTTTTAAAATCGTTTTTTGTATTGTATGTTGTATCAATAGAAACTTTAAAGTTTTCACATCTCTTTCATGATTTGCGACTGATTAATTGTTTATAGTTGCTGTATTTATGCTAGAGACTAAGTTTGTATTCCAGTTTTCATTGTTAAAGAATCATTATTGCTTTTGTTATATTTTATCAAGTATTACAGTACTAAAAACTATTTTTAGGTTGCTGCGCATCTTTCTCGTTCAGATTACGGAGGTGACGAAATTTAACTAAAAAAGTTCTATAACAAATATTGCAAAAAATCTTGCAGTCATTTATTGATGGCCGCCAAATAATGGCCGAGTATAAGAGATAAAGAGAATATACTGTGTTGCTTCTCTGTTTTTGTAGGACAAATTTGATTATAATTTGTTACGTGGGTGGTTATTTGAATCACTATGTGTTTGTTCATATTTTTGCACTATTTGACCAAGAGAACATCTTAATTTTTTCAGCCTATAATGTAATAAAATTGGTGTTTATGAGGTTACCGGAATATGTTTGCTGGATATCTTTATTAAAAGTTATCGTTTCATTTTTTTTCATAAATTGCTTTAAATGTAAAAACTAAATATAGATAGAAATGTGGTTGAGTTTACTGTATTGAAGAGGTTGGAAGCATTTTCATACTTGGAATTTTTTGTTAATTCAAGCCTGTCTAGAAGAAATAGATTCATCACAGAAGTACTTTGCACTTTGGCAGCCTGATTTTAGGTCAGGAATTAAAACCTTTTCCTGCATAATCAATAGGATATATCTATTCTTTATTTCCTGAAGATTAAATTTACATTTGATAGTCGGAAAAGCATTGCAGTGCGGAATGTTAACGATTATTAATAATTGTGGAAAAGCTGCTACAAGTGTAGTTATAGTTGAGAGCCCTCGTTATGTGAAAGATAAACATAAACAGTATGAAGGTACATTCTGGAATTAGTATTTCCTTTCATTAATATATGGGATGGTGATAAAATTTAAGTATCAACGTTATAAAATAATGGGTGGTATATGAATGTCAACCACTGATTATTAGTTGCAAACAATTCAGATATGTTACTTATCCGCTTATTGAATCTCCGTTTTTCCGATGTAATATTACTGAAACCGATACTCAGTTTGATGTGCCCTACATTAAATACTTAATCATTTCCCAAAAAGTTGAAAAATTTAAAGCTGGATAGTTCAGTAAATTCTGCGTAAATAGGTTTATTCCAATATGAATAAGGAATTCCCTTTCAGATGCTTTAATAAAAGTGAAAAATTTTTTGTCATGTTTTGCAAATATCTGTATTAACACTTTGGGAAATGGTGTTTTTTGCAAATAATAGAAGTCATTTGATATTACATTTTGTAGCGTAATTTGACCTGTTTTCTGATCTTTAGCTTTTTTACGAGATATTGCTGTCATAATTCCTTTTCGCGAGATAACGAATGAGTATTGGATGACAGTTATGTGTTGATACCAAAACTGATTAGCGGTGAATTGCTTATTCCTTAGTGTAAGGAAAGTTTGCTTAAAGTGAGATTAAAATTTTTCCTTCTTGCAAGTAAGCAATTTGGTTTCAATGAAAGCCACAAAAAATATGCTGATCTCTTTAGATTACAAATTATGGTAATTGGTTTTTTCAAAGGAACTATACGTAGAGGATATTTTTTGAAAAGAAGTAACAACACAACTAATATAGTTAAAGGGCAATAAACTAATGAGTGACCTTGTGCGCTCATTTATGGCATCTTTTTCGTTATCGTCAAATAAATTGTAATCAATTTGCATTTTGGATATGAAGTCTTCATTATCTCGATCAAATTCATTAACAACATTTTACTTCTAAGCATTAAATAAAAAGTAGAAAATTTGAGTAAATTATTTAAGTGTTCATGGATGAATAACTGCATATTTGCTTGCTCATAATTAATTTCTGAAAATCTTTTCAGTTCAATAACTTCTCTGATCTTATATCTTCATTGCTGGTATTTGTTGACATACATCATGTGCAAAGGCTTAATTCTATGGGCCCTATTTAAGCCATCCATTACATAAGTTAGTAAGCCAGATATGAACTAAATTGTATCATTTGCAATTCCTGTCTGCGTTCAGAAGAAGCAGCTTTCACTTATAGCGAAAATTTTGTAGATATGATCAGAAATTTAAAAAAAGGAGTTACGAATTTAATTGAGTGTATAAATAATAGGGTGCGCAAGTATTTAATTGCAAAATAAAAAATTGTAAACAAATATTTAATGAAAAAATTCAGAACTAAGGTAAAATTTAAGCAGACACTCCCTCAAACTGATTTATCACTTAAAAACTAAGCAAATACAATGCTCTTTTGGTCTTGGCCTTAATTGCTGCGCAATTAATCCCGGAGGGATCGCGAACTATGCAGTTGCTGAAGAAAATTCTGTTCATATGGGATAAATGGAAATGGCGTCATTCTTTGGTAATCATTTTTGCATTTGGAGTAGGGATACAATTTTTGTATTTCATATTTTTTTAAATTACTCGTAACGAGCAGTAACTACAATAGGCAGCTCTTGAATTAATTTCAATCTCGATTCTAAATTACAACTTAATCTCGACGCTAATACGCATCAATTCTCATTCTTATCTCGTATGGAAAAGAGCTCGTATGGAAAAGAGCTCTCAACTATTCATTATTTTCAATTTCACCCATAAAATCTGTTATTTTCCGTTTGATCATTTGTTCTACATTTTTTGTTTGCACGTGATTAACGGGTAAGTCAAGTTAAATCTTCTGGTAATATTCCATATCAAATTTCTCCTAAATTGTCTTCTCAAGAAAATATCAAAGAACTTCCATGTACGAATTTGAACTGATCTATCATAATCGATCGATATACGAATCTGAAATCTATTACAATCACAACCGATCATCTCAGAGTTTTTTTGAACTATCACAATTTAGGTGTATAGGAAATTAATGTTGCTTACTGTTATAAATTATATAATTTTTGAAACACTTTACTAACTATCATTCAGATTTTTATTTTTCTGAATTATAAATTGAAATTTATATTTTGCCATTTATTTAATTGCATTCTAAAACTGTCCTATTCTTTACATAAGTTAAAGAAAACTTGAAGTAATCTTTAATCCAGAATTAGATGAATGACCTTTGAACCGAGTCGTGCAATTAATTTTATCCGTCCTTCAAATTTCCCAAATATTCTGTAACTTTACCTTTGCAATCATTCGAGCAGGAGCAAGACACATCTGTGCCATATTATTACTCAAAACATCTCAAATATGATTTTTTTTGTATGTCCATTTCTTCACCAGTTCCCTGTGACCTTGGTGTCCAATTTTAGTTTTCAAAAAAACGATACAAAAGCTTATTATATAATAATAGTAATACTATTATTATTACTTTTACTGAAGAATATTTGAAATATAAGTTTTATTACATTACTGTTCATCATTAAAGATCTGTCTGTTACTAGCAATTCCAGGTTTTCCATTTTTGATTCTACGATGCAAATCATTGTGTGGCTACGAAATGTCTTAAATCTCCCATATGTTATACTCTGTTCGATTTGAAACAAACTAAAATCAGAAGTGTAGCAGAATGAAATTTTGGCAAGCATTTTTTGATACTTGAGAGGTGAGAAATATTGTCCATATTTATGTTATAAACAACACACGCGAACAGCTGTTAGCATAAGACAAAGGTCAATATATGCTCTGTTTGACAATGAACCCGACAGAGGTTGTAATTCACAAGAAAAAGGTCAAAAGTTCAACGAACTATGTGCACCTAAAAAGCAACCTTCGATATCAGTTTTATTCTTTAATAAAAAAGGTACTTTGAGAATGGTATTACTTACTATAGAAATACAATAGTTTTACTTTTCCATCTACTACAACAAACATGGAAATGAATCGTAACAAAATTTGATACTCGTAATGCTAATGAGTTGTAATCGAATCCTCCATTCAATTTTATTAGTAATTAGTATTGCCTCATTAGCACAATCAGCTCAGTACCAGAAATTACATGAATGAAAAAAAAAATTTCTTCAACTGATGCAAACTTATTCTGTGAAATCATTTTGCTTTTTAAAATGCATGACTTTTTGAGTATAACGAAAGAAAGAACTTTTTCAAACACCTGTTGGTTTAATTACGTCAGTTTAGTAACTTTGTATTTATTGTTGGTTTAGTGTTCATCCATGTCAATCATGTTGACCCAATCAACGTTTACTACTAGCATTAACTATTAACTCTTCATTCCATTCCCCTATCGCTATAATAAAAAGAAGGTAGCTTTTTACCATTGAGACTTTTACAGGGTTTTTTACGTATGTAGGAGTGAGTAGAAGAAATAAATGAAAGGAAGGCTAGAATGAATCGAGAACTGACTCGGCACATACTTGGTAATGAATAATGCAAAGCTAATATATATAATATGAGAGGACGAATTGGAGCATTCGTCGCAGCGTTTGTTTAATTTTTCTTGATTGGTCGAGTCAACAAATTATTGCAAACAGAATTAATAACTCACATCATTTGAGAGGTCAAACTTTGGTAAATAAATTGAAGCACCATGTTTACAACACAGTGCACCAGTGCACCAGCTTTCCATTTATTTTATTATAAGTTAGTCAGAAGCCAAATAGAGGTAGAGGGTGTCATTTTTATTTGAATTTTGTAAAGAACATTCACTTTTAATAATTAACTCTCATTCAAGAAAAACCTTTCAAAATTGCTATTCAAGTTTTGCCAACTTGAAGCAGTCGACAAAGTTCTCGGTTTTGCCCTCTTTTTCAGCCAATTTGTCTTCGTCTTCATTTCAGTAATACATTTTTTGTATCATTGTTATTGTTGCCACGATTACCTACAATTATTAATTATAGAACGATAATTATTGTCCATTTCAGCAGTTTTTTGACACGAAAAGAAACCAAGCTCTTATTCTGTGTGATTAGTCCTATTCCCCATTTGTATGAGTTTTCAAACGGTAGATGGCTTGCGTTTTTGACCTCCTGCGTCAGACCTGTCTCACTGGCCACTACTGCCTTGGCTTTTCTATGTAGAGCTTTTCCGAACTGACCAATCACAAGAGATCATTTGGCTTTTGGATTGAGTGAGCGAAAGTAATGTCAGCAAACTGCAGAGCCGACATGCACACTTCATCGATCTGAGAGAGCAATCCTTTTTCGGGCCTGCTCCTTATCTGTACGCATTTGATCCGTGCAGATTGATTTATTTCCACTCACTCTGTGAGCCTATCACAACTGGCTGTCTCTTTGCACTTCCATGACCCTGCATCATGTGGAGCTTCTCTTGCATCTCATTCACAAGCCTCACTGATGCTGAGAGTCAGGGTTAATCAGTATGGACAAAAAGTCCACAGAGGATAGATAGATAGATAGATAGAAGATAGTTACCTACCTAGCCATTGTTGACATTTGGTGGTTTGCTGTGCTGTTGCTCCGTGAAGTCCAATTTCCCATTTCTCCTAACTCCTTACATACAGCGTTACTTTGCTCTTTATACGTGTACACGTAACAATAGCATTAATACTTCATTCATCGGTAAATAAGTACTTTGCTACTGCAAATCCATACACTACTTCTTATTGGTAATAACACCAAACAAAAGTATTTCGTGTACTCGAGTACGTATTTAAATGAGTACGTAATTGTGGCATATGTTCTTTGATTCACGAAGTGCATACTTTAGATGTGAAACTTGATTGTGCTTATCGGTTCACGTGAAAATTTCCTATGATAATCACAATTTTTTTGCGAATCAGTTAATGCGTGGGATTGTGTCTTCAATCATTTCTTAGTATGAATTGTACATGAATAAGTAAATGCCTACGTGCAGAATTTCGTCTGTTACGGTAGTTAAGTAATATGAACTGTAATAAGAATTAAAATTTGGTGCTTGTACATGTTTGTACTTGTTTTGATGACAAATATACCAACAGATTTTGAAAATAATCATTCAAATAAAATTCTGATTAGCTAGCTCAAAAAGAAAACATAATCTAAACTTTTCGTGCCATAAAATATAGATTTTGACTGGGCTGAAACAAATTCAAATCTCTCGCCTTAAATAGGAAAAATCCACCTTTCTATTTTGTTTTAACCATCTTCCACAGTTGGCTGCTTCGTAAAGCTAGAAATATGGCTGACATTCGTAGTACAATAAGAAACGATAGATTGCAGATATAAAAGATACTATTCCAAGCTCTTTTAGAACGAACTGTGGATGAACTTTGTTTTCTAAAAGCCTCAAGATCTTATCATTTCGTTTAGAGTTGAAAAATAAAGTTACACATCTTATCAATGCACTTTTTTCCACTTCGAATTATTCCTTTCTGATTATTTTTTAACTCTGCAGCGAATCTGGCGTCTCTTAACAGCATGAAGGATTGAATGGATCAGCATTAAGTAACCTTTTACTCTGCGGTAAAAAAAACAGACAAGGAGATTTGACCATAATCAGCTGGACGAAATGCCAAGAATCGAAGAAATTAGGTGTTTTTATTTAATTTTAACCACTGTGCTTTGATTCATATTCTATTTTGTGAAAGAATTTTTTTATGAATTAACTTTGTAAAGTGAGTAAACTATTTGAGGCGTTGATCACGTCTACTTCAAGTCATAAAAGTATCAAGATGCAATACAAGGGAGCAAGAATTCTCATCCCTTGCTTGGCTCTGCACCTCTTATCTTGCATGACTTGAGTTTATCAAAACGTCAGCTATACATGAAAGTGGAAAACAAAGCAAGGAAATCTGGAATATAAATAGCTGCTAATATTTTGAAAAAAAATTTGTTCGACTGACTTTTGTGAAAAATTGGTGTTAGTGCCCGCAGTTATTATATACATCACAGCAACATTTCGCTTAACAGCAACAACGACAACAGTCTCCTATTATTTGCCCTGGACAATAAAAGTAAATCTATGCAAGTTATTTGAATAGTAATCTCTATTATTTTTGAATTACATCACTGTCTTGATAATATTCTTTTACTTGAAGAACTGTCGCTAGGATTCAATCTTTTTCCTTTAGTTTAGTTTGGAAGGTTTAGCTGGGACAGAGTCTATAAATTACAGCAAGCTAGAAATCATAAATCATTCTGTTAAGAATTGAAGGTTATTGATGAATAATGAAATCGAAATAACATCGTTAACATCTTCCTCCCCAGTTTATGGTATTCTCATATTTAGTCATGCTTTTCATCTAGTTAGTCATGTTCCACTTCAATAAGTAAAAATGGTTTATTCATTAGTACTGATGGTTGCATCAGTATGATCAGTAGCTGATAGTTGGATCAGTATAAATCAGAACTAAACTTTAAATTATTTTTAGCATTTGAAGCATCGTTATCATCGTCACTGTCACTGCTTTCATTATCGTGATCATGATCATGCACCATCTCACATAGTTCTAGATGATGTTTGTGCCATAAAGATGAGGCGAAAAGCAAATTGAAAATAAATTTTGCATAGTTTTGTTTCGTTTTTTCAGTTTTCTTAAATATTTAATCCTTGCAGTCTTAGTTCAGATTTGTCTCCAAGATTCGTTTCGCTATGTCGAGATTCATTTTATTGTGATACCATTTAGTCATTTGACGAATACAGACCTGTCCATTCCTGTGGTCGTAGTTGGTAAGACAGAGTGTGTCTATCTCATGCCATTGTCGTTAACCCCATTTGCAAGAAAATTTTGTGGTGGATTTTGTGGTGTAAAGAGCGCATAAATTATTATTTACTTTTAGAGGTTGCATTTTTATACCTGTTTTATTTTTGATAAGTAAACTTAGTAATAGTGACATATTTTATTTACTAGGAAACTAATTTTGTTCACGGTATACATTTTACACCTATGGTTCCCTAACCTAAATCATTCTTCAACACTTTTTAAATTAAATAAGAAATTTACTTAATTTAATGAGTAAACTTCGTACTCAATAATAAAAATAGAGAAATATTACTGTCTCGTGCCATATTACTGTATTTTATGTTTGTAAATGTGAGTGTATTTGTTGTTTATTATCGGTGATGAGACGATTAGGTGGGGCTGTCGGAACTCGATCTTTTAGGCCAGGACGTTCGAACTTTGCATGTACATTATGGGAGGAATGGGGCACAATCGCCCGGTATTATTCACATCAAGTCAACTGGTGCAAGACATTAAATAAGCTCGTGTCGCGCCACTAAGTTTTAGTGATAAAGTCGTTATTTTACTTCGTAATACTTTTTCGAACTTTAATTTGCTGATAAAGTTTTAGTGGAAATAAAAGACATGCAAATGTTTTTTTCACTTACCCATTGCAAGCTTGAATGAGGCTGAACGACTTCACAACTGACTGACATATGTCTTGCCAGTGGTAAATGAGTCATGTAACAACTGTGTACTATTAGACCAGCTAGATTAGTGTCAGCTTAGAATCCACTTCTGTCTATCGAACACTTGCCATTTTGCAAATTTTAAATTATATTGTATTCAAATTATATTAATACACACTTGAAAGCTTATTACAAGGTAAATTTTATGATTAAACTTTCGTAAATGGAAAAATTGTCATGAATCATAAATATTTCTTTCTTTCATAGTTTTATTTTTATTGATTACGAATATGAATAATATTCTCAATGCTCTGATCACTTTTGTTACATAGAAGAAATATCGACGTTGTTTCCTAAGTTATTGGTTTCATAGCAAGTATTATCCTTCCCATCAATTTCCAGTCTGTTTATAGCACCTCTATTCATCGCCAGTAAATAGTCATACCGCTAGTAACGAGAGTAGAATTGACACCATTTGCGTGTCATGTGATTTGATGTAAGTATGCCTTGTTGTTAACTTCCAGTAGACATAAGTGTAAGACCTAATCAATTGTTAAGTGTAAGACCTAATCAATCGGATCAGAGATTGAAATATACATTTGCATATTGCTTATTTGCAGGACGGATTTTTGGAACATTCCCTGTTCTTACTTGCTCACATAATTATTAAGACGAACTACCACATCATTTAATTCGGAAAACTATCAATAAATTACTTGATCAATATATGGAACGTACAGTTTAATACTTATTGTTATGGTGTGAGTAAATATGTCAAGGTCAATAATAACAGCAGGCGATGTTACATGAAAGCATAATATTTACTTTTATGAGAAGGAATGAGTTTCACCAAAATTATCTGATGATGGCAGAATTACTTACTAGAAATTCACATTAGAACATGTTTGCATTTATGCTGTGACTACTCAGTAGTCATATGTCCTCATTATTGGTTGACTGCTAGTTTTGATAATTTCATTGGTCAGATTTTGTGTGTTTGATAGCAATTGCTGTCATTTTTTCTGCTTCAAACTTGATTTATGCAAGAATTTCAAGCGCAAGTTAGGTTATTTGATTGGAATTGAAAGTACTATTTGTTTTCAGACATACGTTCTAAACTCAACTCTATGCCTTCTTCCATCCAAAAGTAAAGAAGTACTCTTTTCAATAAATCAGTTTCAGTTTTGAAAATCTTTTCCGAAGTGATAAGATTAGATAAGATCAGCTTTTCATCGACGGTTTATAATTATTGTATGATCTGTGCAATTTCTGTATGATATATAAAATAAAAATTTTGCTTTGTAGTTACAATTAATATGGAATAAATTGTAAAACTGAAAGTAATGTTATAATAGATGCTTATCTTTAGTGAGTAATCAGAATTGAACGATCTGCGATGGATTAGATCGAGGACTGATAAAATGTAATTCTCGGGGAAGCAGCAATACACTAAATACTTACATGGCTGAAGGTTAATGCTGGCAGTTAGTCAAAATGTTTCGACTTTGTTGAGAGTAAAGATTGACCTGGGGAAAATTATAAGTAACACTGGAAACTCAAGGAAGCAGTTCATCGAAACTTATTTCTTAAGACCACATCCCCACGTTGCGTCAGAAACTATAAGAAATTATCAATAATATACTGATAATATGTTTTCGATACAGCATTTAATCATCTTTTTGCATAATACCAAAGACATAGTGTTTCAAACTGCCTTCAAATTACTGTCCAAGCCACATGCAGTGTCTTATAACAGCTGTCTTTTAATAAAATTTTACTTTTTCAAATTTTCAACTTCCATTTTTTAAAGCTTACATTTGGAAATGGACATGCTAGAAATACATTTAGCGGAGTTATTCCTTATGTTGTATTCGTTGAAAAAAATGCCTTGCTTGATAAACTCTGCGAAGTGTTGTCCTACTTGTACATCTACAACTTATTTACAGTGGATCAAAGTTTGAGTTTGGTGTTCAGGTATGGTGATACTGTTTTTTATTTGATTGAAATGAGTTGGCAATCATTTTTGTTAAATATGCGAATTGCCTTCATCAATGCCATCCTTATCTAGAATTTCAACAAGAGATGTCATGTTTTTTGTTTCTCAGGTATCATTTGCTATCCGTGCTTTTGATACTTAAGTAATCATAACAAGTGTAATTAATGAATCAATAAATTTTATTGTGAACGTAGAATTTGTCTATCTCACATGATGCAGAAATTAAAGCTACCACGCGAGAATAGAAAGTCAGCTGTTATAAGGCATTGCATGTTATTTTCTGTGGTAATAAAAGCAGTAGTATTGGTTAGTCTTTGCACAGTGATCTTTTGAGCATTTATCTCTTCGAGAGGTCAAAATCTAATATTAATTTGCGTATCTCACGATTATCTATTTGAACAACTTTTTGATTGATAAGATCATCATACTACTTATCACTTCACGCTGAATTTTATACCCTTTCTGGCTGTGACCATTATTTTGTGTATTTCTTGATAAGTAATTTCGTTACCGTTCCAGGAGATTAATTTAAAAGGTTCTCGATATTTGAATTGGTTGTACAAATTTGTTCAGTAAAGAAACAGGATTTATTAATTCACTTGAGATGCATGTCGCATAAACAAATGGATTGCTTGAGGTGCATTTGAAGTCTGTGAATTCTCAAAATTGAAACGTGTAATACTTTGTGACCCTTTTTTCAGTGCTCAAGAAAATAATCTCATAGATTTCTTCCAGTGGAATCAGATTTATTCATATTATTAGCTGTAGTGAAAAGATGGTCAGTTTGGTCATGTCGATACATGTGGTCAATCCTATTGTGAAGGGATCGATTGATACATTCTAGCTATTGATCTAGAAATGATTTTGCTATGTTTAGCAGCGATAAATTTGTTCATAAAAACATTAGAGATATACGATCATTTGAACTTGCTTCGGAAAATTTGCAAAATAACAAGTTTACACTGCATTATGATATTCTTGAAATAGCAGTCGGTCTCTGTAATATTACTCACACACATATGCGCATAATGAATTATTTTATATTGTTTAGATCAGTAAAAATCGTTCTTCTCATTCCAAGTAATGTTTGAATTATTTGGGATTGATAAGATAAAGAGTCTACAGGGTCCTGCAGTTTTGGAAGCGAAGACGAACAACTAGATATATTCGGGCGCGGTTGTTGCTTGCAAAATTTCATCGCTGAAGCGAAAGAAGGAATTCATTTAATTCAGTCACTCTATAAAAGCCACTTCACTTGAGCAAATAGAATGCAAAAGATTTGTATTCCTACTATTCTAATAATATTATTGGCTGATCGATATGAGTGTTATTGTCAATATTATTGTATCAATATGAATTTACAGAATAAAAATCACAGCAATCGATGTTAGTGCTAATAGAGAGGAAGGTTTTTTACAGAGAAATATTACATGCAGTTTGCGGTATGTTTACATTTGTATCTATCAAAACTTGAATCATCTATATATGCCATTCATCCGTCCATCAGTACAGACATTTCTTGACCAGTGCGTTGCAATGTGAAGTCTCAATTGTGATTGTCATGCTTGCTACTCCCTGTTTTTTCCAAATTATGTGGCACTCAAAAAGGTTATTCTTTTATCTTATTTCAGCTGACGAATTTGGCATTCTGACCATTGCCACATTTGGCTTTGGAGCAAACTTGAGAAATGCCTTTATGAGTGGCGCATTTATGGTTGAACGGAAGGGAGATAAAAAATGGTGACTGACTCGTTGCAGATCTTCCGTTAATTTTTTGCTTGAGAAAGTGGTAACTTTGCCAATATTGATTTCTATAGACTACTAATTCTCATGATACTAAGCCCTCTGGTCTTCATTCGTCTACTCAAACTAAGCAACTATTTGCAATTTATTTTACTGATCAATTCTCTTACGAATTTATCAGCAGTCCTCAAGAATTACAATGCATGAAGTTGTTATCCTCTAACTTAAGCATATTCACTGTTTTACAACAAGTTTTTCCATACTCTCGTTATCATTTGTGATGCTTGCACGAAATGTCTATCCGTTCATCAATCAAAGTCGCTGATAAGATGATTAGGTGTGGAGCAAATTGATTTCATCAGTGCTTTTTCTGCTTTTGCTTATCATTACTATTGATAGTAAATTAAATGCTCTGCGTTTCCATGACGTACATTTACAAACACTGCTCGAAAAAGACTTCTTAGTATCCATTATATAAGTATTTTTGTGTAGCACCATGTTAGGATGGTTGTATTTATTAGTATTAATGCATATCTGAATATGAATGAAATATGATGGATGAAAGTTTCAATTATTTGAGTGACGAAGTAATAGAAAAGGGAATAATGATAAAGGGCAGATAGGTAAATAGATGGTGATGCATGCAGTGATATTGGCAAATGAATCTTGCTTATCATAGAAGAATAGGAATGGAATAGAAGAGAATAAGGATAGATTGGCACGGAAGGGAGCAGAATGAGAATAAGTCGATGCTTAAACAGCAAAGGAAGAAGAACTATAAGTATTGGTAGCAGTACTTAGTAGTAATAGTAATAATAGTAATAGTAATAGTAATGAGAGAAGTGCTCGCTATCATTCTTGAGAAGAAACCATATTTGTTGATGTATTGCTTTTGCAATCTTTTATTCTTTCGTTTACTTCCACTTTGTTTCACTTAAATATTAAAGCGACCAGATATATCAGTTAATTGGAGAATCGGTAAAGAACAGCCAGTTTTTGCTCTTTTTTGATTCAACGTTTATGAATCGAACTACTCACGCGTGATGTAATCATTCTTGACGTATTGTTAATTTTGCTTCGCTTATGATTTTCACCGCTGACTTCAGCTCTTTAATAATTTATTGCTTTTGCCACTAGACATTTACTGCCTTCATTCTTTTAACTCATTATTAGCCTTTTTGCAAATTACGTACTATCATTTTTGTCTCCATTTGTGATTGTTTACATCACTTTGCTATTGTCACTCAAGATATGAAAACTTGATAAATTCTCAAATTCTTGAGAATATTTTGTAATTTTATGAGAATCTGTATAGTTGAGAAAAATGCAAAAAACTCGTTAATTATCTGGAAAATACAAAAATGTCAATTTAATGATCAAATTATTTGCTTTCATCCAACTATTATATGAAACATTTCCCATTGAACACTTTCTTTGAATTAATGGTCACTGTTGATTGCATAAATAGCCACTTAAAGAGCAGATTTCTCAAGAATTTGAGAATTTATCAAGTTTTTTTTTTGTTTCATATAATATCTTGAGAATACTGAAAATTCAAGCATTTGTTGATCTCTAATCGATTACTACTGATTGAGCAAAACTTGTCGAAAAAAAGAGTTTAAAAGGTTGAAAAAATTAATATAATAGCAGTTGAATTCTGTACATGCTCAAAACTTACTCCGTGCCATGCTAGTTTATCTGTTTTGTAAAAATTTTTTACTGATGCCATACAGATTTTTATAATCATGTTAGTTATTATTGTTTGTTCATCATAAGCGATGTACTACTGTACCTGATTACTTAGAAATTTGTATCATTTTTGACGTCTATAATCGTTATAATATTAGTTGTATGGTCCAAGTCGTGCTGTTCTAGTAAAATTTGCATGTGCATTCCTGAATTATGATCTACTTTCAGGCAACGCATAACCACCCTCACTTGCTTAATCTCGCCATATATTCTCGTTGATTTCTCACTTTCTGATCCTTTTTCCAATTTATTAGCCAAACGATTTTACTGGTATATTTACTCGATCCTGGTGAAGAATTTTCTCCTTTGTTTTCATTTCCTATCAATAATCAATTTTTTTTATTACTGATCGCTTTTTCTACACTTTTCTTCAAGTCTTGAACGACGAAATGCTCAACGGTTTGTATGGCTACTTTTTTGGCAGTGAGCACATCAGTGGTATTGATGCTAAGGTGAAGAATATTTCTGCTATTCCTAGTAAGGAAGGAAATAAAGTGAATCAAGAACTCTTGGAATTCTTTTCAGGAAAAGACAGCTGTAAAATTACTTATTGACAGAAAAAAAAATGAAAGACTCTTTGATAGTTTTCATTCGAAACATTTTCGAAGTTTTGATATTTCCATCAATTCTTTTTATCTAGGAGAATGTTTCCGTGATGAAAAACTCGATCGAGTTGCTAGCCGATTCTCGCACGTTTACTTTGAATAAAAATTTGGAAAACAAGGAAGATGACTGGATTTTTCTTGACGGTTTGCAAATTACTCTTCTTTATTTCATAATAATTATAATACAATTTAAAAAAATTTTTAACTCCGGAATTCTTTTATTGATGATATTAACAGAACGTTTAACACTTATAATGCGGCATAAATTCTGAATTAGTTACGATTGATAATGATTATATTTTGGGCATTTATATAATTATTGTATTGGGCATTAATAAGTATCCACAAGTAATTTATTATGAGTTATTATTTAAATATTTTAAACATTAATAAGAATTAATATATAATTTTTTAATTATTAATTCCCGAATATTACTGTTGCCGATTATTCATTCTTATTATCATCATGGAATTTAAGTGCTATTTTACTGCAAGACGTTTTGGACATTATTATTATTATTATTGCTAGCATCGATGATTACTTTTGACATTATTTATATCAGCCCCAGGCATCGTTATCATTATTGGTGTTACTGACTACTGTTATTTGTTTTGTTAATATCATCAGAGGAAGAATTTGGAAGCTCAAAAATTATTTGGTATGGCACAACCCATGCCTCATGATAGCTTGTCATTTGCATTTTTGTACTCTGGTTATTTGCGTAAATGTGGCTATTTAGAACCCGATCTCATAGCTATTGACGATGATGATACTTTGGCTGTAACAAATGTATGTGCACGATCAACGTCTTCGGTATGGAGCACTACACCGCTTCACGCTAACCCTGATCACTCTGTGAAATTCAACTGCACAGCTTGTTTCAAAGCATGTGGAGGTTCACCATGTCCTCGTAATCCTGAAGTTCAAAAGAAAGATACAGGGAAACAAGCAAGAGAAAACGCTTTAAAACAGAAAGAGTTGGAGCGACAAGTAAGTATAAATCAAACTTCCATTGACTATAGCCAAGTTTTGGATGTAGTTATTGTTGTTAAAGGAAGTGTTTTCTTTCCTGAGTATGAAAATTCGGGAATATATGAATGCATAAATTATACAGATTTTTTTAACTGCAGCTATTCGGAAAACATTTGTCATGCGTGAATGATGCATCAGAAAGAAAAGCAAACACTGCTGCTAACAACAGCTCTGGCAAATTTTATGATGCAGCACTAAATAAACTCAACACTGGTGCCAAACTGAAGAGGTAGATATTATGTTAAAGCTGCTTTTCCGTTTGAGTAAAATCAAAGGAAACAAAAGTCTTCTTCAAATGAGTATTAAGTGCCACCATTTCCTCAAAAACTGAAATTAATTCCTTAAAAGAAAAATAAATCTTCAAGTTTTGCCGATTTTCTTCTCTGAACTTCTATTTGTTTACACCTTCTAAAGAGAATGATTTCTTTTTTATTAAAGAAATTATGTTTTTCATCCAATATTGTCTCATGTAAGAAAATGATAGGAATTATTTTAACTAATACCATAATGCATTAAGTGATGATAAAATCTGCCATTTTATTGTTGAAAGTGAAATAATACAAGTTTACCTGTTGAAATGGTAATGTTATTGATAAAATAAACTATAAATATTTCATAGATTGCAGGAATATTCGAATACGGTTGAAATTATGCAATGTTTTAACAGATATTTCTTTACTCAGTTTAATTTCTACTAATCGGTTGTATATTCGGAAATCCAACGATAAAGTATAGATGCTATTAAATATTGTTTAGTGATAATTGCAAGTGATGAATTGCAGATCCACAGCAGCTGGTCACTTTGCATCTGATTCAAAGACCAAACAGCGCTCAAAGAAAAGTAGTCGTTTGTTGGTCGGTAGAAATAACGATCGTAAAGTGAATAGCTCAAATTAAAATGAAGAGTGAAAATTTGAAGAAATGAAAGCATAGCTAAACGAATAATTTCTGGATAGCCGCTGATCATACCGTCACTAACAGCAAACAGCCTTATACATATTCATTCCCGTCGAAGTAAAAACTTCTCACGAAAACAAGTAATATTTTTCTCTCCCTCTGTATTCAAGTAAGCGTATTGTATTCACTGCAAATAGCCTCACTTGTTAGTATTACCTTTGTCACTGCAAACTCATAATTTCTTGCATTTGTGTTGTAAATAATTAGGCATAATTTCAATTACTTAATATTAACTCATAGCATTTGAAAATTACTATGTTCGTGTTCGCCATTTTCAAGAGCAATATTTCAACTAATTTGGAAAAGCAAAACCTTTAATTTTGTGAATCCAATTTTTTGCTTATATCTCTATTTAAAAAAAATTAATCCATTTTAAAAATGGTAGCTCTGTAAAGTTATCATTGGATTTGTACATATTTGTGAATAGATAACTATCGTGGTAGTAAAATTTCAGCCATTACTCGTCGATATGTCGTTTGTTTGCACAAAGTGTATATTCTTTAAATTCTCTGCCTCATAGTTTAATAATTTTTTAACATTATTTTATGTTAATATTACACATAATGTAATAAGGTTGGAAGTACTACGAATAATGAAGATATAAAAAATAGACTAGAAGTTGTGAACTCTAAAATGCATAGAATATCCATAATTCTAATTTGTGCTTTCTCATGTCCTTATTATGGGTCCATTACAGTGTAAGCTTTCTCTCATATTTTGATTTACAAAGCAAACATATAAATGGAGAATTTCATGCTGTTTTTTGGATAGATAAAAAACTAAAAATAATACAAACATTCATAAAATTATTAAAAACTTTGGAAGTGTCCGTTTTCAACAATGTTTGAAATCTTGTGTCAAAGTGTCAAAGTTCTTCTAAGTTGAGAAGAGTTGTAGATTTTGTATATTATTCTTGTGTCCCTATGTATTATAACAATTGCTTAAAGAAATTTTCAATCAAAAAATTGAAAAGATGAATTTTGTTAATGAAAATTTGTGATAGCGTGTGGTTGTAATTCAAGTTCAGAATATTATATCATTGATTCATCTAAAAGTATTGAAAACAAAAATATTGCTCATTCTTTAAGATGTTAGAGCTGTCAGTGATGCAATTAATTATTCAATACATAGTTCTTAAATAACCGTGAGCAATATTTGATTCATTTTATTATATTGCCATTCAAATCCAGAAATGCATTGTATGATTTAGTTGTTCAGTTTTACTTTGTAATGCGGTGTACTTTAGTGATTTCCAAGTGAATCCATTACTCATGTAAATAATATCTACAACTGACGAACTACCTTTTGTCAAATCTTCTGCCTCAGTATTGATACAATATTGTGAATTAGAATTGTTGCAAGTTGATTAACCACTTGATTATATGCTAGGTTTTTACAAAAACAACAAGTTATTGTCTGCTAATTATGCATGGAACAATAAGAGGCTTGCACGAATGAATGACTCTGAAAGTGTGCTCGAGTTACTTGTGCGACGCCAATGTTCACTTCGTTCTTGTCTTGAATATTTGTTGTCTTGGTATTTCAAAGCAGTAACTTTGCTTTTCTTATGTTATATAATTAATTCTATTTGCCCAGCATTGGAATGTAATTCGTGTGATTATAAAGTAGTAGTTGCTGCTGTTATTGAATTTTTTTTTCAATTTTCAACGAGCATATTTATAGGTTTTTCAAATTTTGTAGTTCAGAAAGATCTTCAAGGACTGAGATGATTTTATTTGTCCTTCATGGTATTTTTTAAGCTTTGCACTTATTCAGTCAGTTTCACATCCTTACTACTTAGTAATTGAGTTGATTCATTTATTTCAACTGACTATTTAATCAATTAATATTTGAGAAAACACTATTGTAAAGAAAGGTCAAGCATTTTAAATTGCCTTTAATTGCTTTTTGAGTCTTGCTGCACGTATGATTTATTCGTGCATTTGTCAGTAGAGCACTTGTCATCAAAAGCTGTTTTCTTTGTCAATGACTGCTCGTGAAATTTTGTATATTTAAATTCATTTTGACTGTGTTGCACGACAGTGAAAGGCACTGTGCCACTTTTTGGAATAATTTGTGCACTCATCAGGTGCTGAATCAAATTTATTGTCAAAGGTGCGTGTCATGCAGTGCTACGAATTTCGACGCTGTTGTCCGTTCTTGTACTAAAAGCAACATCGTTAATCAAATATTCTTTATCACTCTCTACGTATGTGATGCACTGGATAGTCTCCTGTGTAATTCCATTTTCTTCACAATGTATGTCTTCAAATATAGGTTTTAACGTACTATTTTTGAACTTATTAGATACTTTTGTAAGATTAGTGTCGTGCAATATTTGCATTTCATCTTTAAGCATCTGTATATAATATTCATTTATTACGAAGCAATTTAAAAGAGTTAAAGGGCGAGTAACAAAGCAAGCAATTTATTTCTTCCAGTTTTTTTGTTTGGAATAAAATATTGATTAGTTCAACAAATAATAAATGTACTGATTGAGAAACTGATCCATTTTCCTAATAAGCTTGCTATTCAAACCTTATTTTCAAGATTTCTAAAATACTTTAGTCATTGCATTGCTGTTTTTCTTTCCGACTTATGCTCTAAAAGATTGTTCAAGTATAAAATTTTGTATGAATTTGAATTTGTATGAAGTCGCATAATCAATACCATTCATCTATCAACTGGCTCAAATACTTATGAAAAAAAGATTTTTTTCAACTTCACTTATTATGATTAAATTTAACGTCACTAAATCCAAGTGAAGTTAAATGTAATCATGAAAAGAAATCTATTCTGTAAGAGAAATTTTTTAAAGCATATATGTACAGATCACACGGTTTGTTTCTTTTATGCAATTATGTGTCTTCAAAATATTAGTTACGATCACAATCAGAAAGAAGTAGGAGTAATACGCTCTGGACTGAATTATGTGTTGGATGACTGACTCGGAATTTGTATTACTGAAATAATTGTGCTCCAAAAAAGTGCAATAATTAATAACCAAGTATCTGAACGTTTTCGAGTCTGTTCATAGACTTGAGTAAATTTACGTATACACATCTATTATTGTCTTCCAAGTAAGTCGCTCTAGTATTTGTTCACGTCTCAGCTACCCGAGAAATAAGTGCACATGTCATCGCCATTTGTTGTACATTTATGTTGCACAAAAAATTTAATCAGCAACTTACTGATAACAGTTAATCAGATTGCTGCATTTGAAATGATTAGGAACAAAAGTTAATTAACTATTGGCAGGCAACGGCGAAAAGGATTACTCCTTATGATTAAGGAGGGACAATCCTCAGAGTTATCATTTAGCAGCTGAATATTCATTTCAAAATCGCTTCTCGGAATAATCATATTTGAGCAGTGTAGCATCATGTAATTCAATAAACTATTAGCGATTCAATGCAGATAAATGCAATTTGGTGTTGAAGAAGGCCTTCGACGATCTGTGAGCCACGGAGTGGATAACAGATCGTCGAAGGCCATCTTTTGCTCTCCTGTCTCTTGCCCCCTCTAAATCTCATTCTCAAGAGCTTATGAATGAGACTTATGATCTTTGTGAGGACTCAAGATCATTATTCATACATTACAATTGCTTAAATTGGCCAAGAATTAGATTGTCGTATACCTTTTAGAGTTGCAGTAGTTCAACGTCTAGAAAATTGTTAACGATCTGGTAGTCGGGATACTGCTTGGTGTTCAGCTTGGATACACGTTTTCTGGAAACGAAACATTGTAGTCATTTTCCGTGAAGTGATTTTCACAAGCAGCTTTGTTGTCTTAATGAATTAAGCAACTTATATTTGAAAAGTTAATTCTGCGCGTGCAAAGCAAGCCATGTACCACGGAGCTAGCCTTCTTTGGTTATCGCTAACTTTGTGATGAGTTTAAGATTATCTTCGAATTTTGAAAAACTGGTCGCTAAGTTATGTGATTTGTCATATCAGTGCTAGAACAATCACAGCAGCAGTGAAAGCCAGGAACTGGCAGAAATATTTGAATACTCGTAATTACTTAGTTTTCAGTAAAATACAATTACAAGTTATGAACTGCTGTAGGGAATGGCGGGAGCAATATCTGTATGTATGTGTTGGTACATTTATTTGTCTGTGAGTTTATGCTTTCGTGTGGTGTGTGCATGGTTTTTTAAATGTATACATGACTTAGCAGTCGTTCATGATGCGTGCACCTGTACTTCTCTGCGTAATGGTGGCTGCACAGAGCTTGTGCATCTGTACGGGAATCAACAAATCCATCCACGTTTTCTTGCATGAATGTATCCATCATGGTTGCTCGTGTGATTGTGGTAGCTTTATGTTTCTTTGTTTATACATTTAATACTTTGATTAGTTTACGCTGCATCTGACGTAAAGTACAGTAAGATGATTTTCAATAACTTTACTATATTTCTGCGTATTCTTTGAGCATAAATAATTTTAGTGTTCGAAGAGAGAGTACCTTTTTCTGACGGCTCATATACTGTGCCGAAAAGAGCCACTTCGAAATTTTCTATTCAATCAGATAGACGAAATATACTTTCTCGAGCACACAATAGTTAATTTCCATATAGAATTTCAGCTGTGGAAAAAATAAAAGGGAGAATGCATACAATTTTTCAATAACTATTTTTCTGCATATTCATATCTCTCAGTTTATTTCTTGCCACTTTATTAGTAGTTGTGAGTGGCATTTTTGAGATAAATTCGATTCCACCTTTCAGCTGTTTGTAACTCGCAAATTTACCTGTAAAATTCAGGCTTTTGCTTCTACTTATGAAACTCAGTGCTTTATAAAGTAAGAAAAAGAGTTCAGATGCAGTAGTAGCTAGCAGTTTTGCGGAGATATTTGCACATTACGCGATTTCGATTACTAAAATGCAGTTAATTTACTTTTGCTAGAACCACTTTCAGTTTCCAAATTTTTTCTCTATGAATTTATTGTACGACATCACATTTTGTTGACTACAAACTAAGGGTTTCGGATGAGATATATTTGCTTGTAATTATTTATTGATAATCTCTGCAAAAATCAGTTCCACTGCCACAGTTTCATGCTTAAGAACAGTTAATCTAATGTACCTTTCACAAGTTCATGGATAGTATTCTTGTCTAGCTCTGCTCCATCCTGCAACTGAATGTAGGCCATAGGTAATTCTCCACTGAGCTCGTCAGGAACACCAATCACAGCGCAAAATTGTACTTCCTTGAGCTCTTGGATTGCTTCCTCAATCTCATAGGGAGATACCTATATATGTTTGATAGTTCCTTATCTAACACCTTGTGCTTAACTATTTTGTGCTGAAAGTAGTGTTGAAGACAAAGGATATTAAATTTATTAATAAGACTTAATTCAGACCTGCCAACCACGAACTTTGATCATCTCCTTGATGCGACCTGTGATGTACATAAAGTTATCAGAATCATAGTAACCCAGATCACCTGTTCTGAACCATCCGTTTACCGAAAAATTGCTGCTGAAATTTTCTGCAAAGTTAAATTTTGATAAAAATTTGTCAAATTTACTTACTTGTTTTCAGATGATTTCTCGAGGTATCTTCGCATCATTGTTGCAGTTTGAAGCCATATTTCACCGACTTCCATAACTTGGCACTCCTCATTGTTAGATATGTTGGTAATCTGAGATTGCACAACATTTATTTATTTACAGTTTATTCATTTGGAGAAAATGCATGAGTTCATGATAGTAGCAGAAGTATTGACGATAAATACAGATTGTCAAAAATAACGAGATTTTTCTCTATTTACACCTTTTTTGAGTTTCTCGGCAGCTGAAAAGTTTGGTCACACTTTTTTCTCCCAGACAGTATGCAGAAAGTGCTAAACATGATGAAACTTTACTTTGCATTTTACATTTGGCAGTAAAATTCCACAGCTTTCACTTTTTCCTACTGAATCTAATGGCTGCATGAATACGAATGCTCCTGCTTCGGTTGTACCGTATACTGCAACTGATTAAGCATTTGTATATTACCACATTGTCAGATTGAAAAAATTGTGTTATTGCGTAAAATTGATCATTTTGTTTCTAGTTTTTTTAAATTAATAAATAAATGACTCGAGGTATCTTCGTATCACTGTTACAGGAAGCCATATTTCACTGATTTCCATGACTTGGCACTTTTCATTGTTAGATATGTTGGTTAATTAATTTAAGTCTTTTAAAGTGATGACAAGTTTATGTTGGTCAAAGTCTTGTACTTACACTGGATGATGTTTGTAGTAGGTAGGAGATACTTCATTGACTCTATCAGTGATTTTTTCACTTGTGCTGATCCCACAAATATGTACTTCAGAAAAAAAAATGATTGAGATATTGATCTCAGAGTACTGACGAGTGACTTCATAACGGACGGAACAAGCAAAGCTATGGTCACCTTAAATTTTACACTTTATAAGTTTGTAAAGAAGTTTGAATATGAGTAAAAGTATTCGTTAAAGCCCTTAAAACGAGGGATATTTGTGTAATTAAAGACTAGTTATTTATTAAAAAGCTGAGTCGATGTAAACTTGAAACAAATAATCGTCAGCTGAATAAACATATGCTCAGGTTGAAGTGAATGGATGAATCAGGTTTTTTGAAACCTGCGTGTAAAAAATAAAAAATGGTGTATTGTGAAATTGTAAGACTGAAACTTTATGTTTCTTGAGTGTCGCAAGAAATCCTTCATTGTCGTATCTCCCGTTAACAATCACACAAACACCGAGTCCTAAGAGACCGAGTACGGTTAGCATACCACCTGCGTGAAAATAAGGCAGTACTCCATACGCCACATCTCTATCGGTAATGTTTGCCATCTGGTATTTCCCAAACTTGCTGCATGCCTGAGCTGTGCTAGAATTATTTCACTGCTTGATAATAAAATGCTTACAACTAATGCCAACAGTACTTCATGCTTACCCACACTTTTCACTACCATTATTTGATTTGCGTTATTTTTATTTCAAGCGGTAATTTAAAAAAGTTCTGTAAACAAAGTGATTACCACTGAGTTAGGTGAAATCTTTAATTAAAAATTACTGTCATTTCTATATTACATCCAAATAATTCCCAAAAATTTTTACCCTTCAGCAACAACAGATTTTTAACTAGCAAATCATAACAAGATGTAAAATGAAGTGTACCGTAGCAATTCAATATTTGCAATCAAAGCTCTGTGATCAATACTAATAGCTTTTGGCGGGCCAGTCGTTCCAGAAGAGAAGAAAATAAATGCCTGAAACATTTTCTTCGCCTGTTCAAATTCGTGCTAGTGAAAGTCAATAATTCAGAATTTTCTGCTTGTTTTAAATTTAAGAAGTTAAACGCTTCATGCCTCATATCTATTCACATATTTGTTTTGGTGAGAAAATCTGTGCCGAGCGTTTTGGCATAAATTTTGTTGACTCAAATAAGCCTGCAGGGGAAAACACTGAAATGCTTCTTTAATTGAGTCCAGAACTATCACAGCCTGCAAACGTTCCACGGTATATATACTAACTCGTGTGACAAATGATACAAATTGAAACAATCGGATGAATTTCTGTTCCTGTACAGAGTTGTATCCATTAATTACTCACTCGGATATTCGCTTTGATTTTTTTGATATTTTCAACGAACATATTTTCTGTCAATAACCACTGGATCGCAACTTTATGAACACATTTGTCAATCTCATCTGAAATTATTTCGTTGCATACTTGAAGCAGAGAATGAAAGACTGTTCCTTCTCTCAAGAGCAAGCATTACGTCACGTATGCATTTTCGTCCTTTGATCGAAAATTTCTGAGTTTTCTTTCGTTTGGATTTTGGCCCTCTCGCACTAAAAGCTTAGGTTGGTAAATTTTTAATTTATTTTTTGAATATATTCTGCATATAACTGACAAGGTTTATACGACGGATTTAATGGTACCAAAGAAGCACCAAGACCAGTAACAGCCAGTACAAAAACAATGTAATCTGAAGAATTGTTGACAAGGGTGCCGATAAAGTCACCTCGTTGAACACCCAGCCTGATCAATGCATCAAGGATATCTTGTGACCTTTTGGTTACTTCAGAAAAAGTCAAGCATTTCATTGTTTTTGGGTCAACCTGAAATAGCTTATGCAAACTTTCAAGCTTACTTCATTAATTGCTTTTGAAAATTTAATATTGTTTTAGGAACCGACTCTTGACTACAAAATAAAAATTTTCCGTAATGAAAATTAGTATAGCCTATATAGCATATATTGTCATACTTTGAAATTGAAAACACTTATTCTGAAAATGCTGACTCTGATTATAACTCATTGCTTTTTGCAAAAATTGCACCAGCAATATATTTTTCGCCTCAGTTCACCATTGTTTCGTTCAATAATTTAGTCCCAAATAAAATTTACAATTCTGTTGTGAGTAAAAGATATTGTTTTGAATGTTTTGCATCGACTTTTGCCTAATATTGACTCACCAAAGCGATTTTGTGTCCAAAATTTGCGGTAATTTGATTGAAATATTCATAAAAATTTTCTTCGACTACAGGAACAATGGCAGGAAAATGATTCAATACTGTCATACTGTTTATAACTGTAAACTCATTGGTTACAAAGTTATAAATAATACGCATTATTATTTTCGTAGTAAATCATAAATTTTTTTTGCATTCATCTGCAGTGTTTACAAATTTACAGAATAAGATCAAATAAATAGTAGATAAGTTTCTGAAAATAGTGGAGATCTAAATCTGTTCTGATCAAATTCAGAATTAAAAATCTGTGAACCAAAAAAATGAGAAAAAGTAGCATTCCTATTTCAGTCATTTCTCCTACTGACTTATTAATTAACTACTTGAATGCTTATCAGGCATTCGACACTTTCGACTGCTTGATTCTGTGCAATCTTAAAAATACAGGAAGAAAAATGAAAAAATTTTTTGTAATTCATAATAAGTTTCATTCAAATAAAAGAGTCTCAAGGAGATCAGTAAATTATTAAAAGTTATCGAGTATTCGAGAGCAGCTGTGAATAGAAATATTGTCAATGTTGCGATGAAAGTTTTATGCAGGCAAGTGATCTAATAATTTTCAGAAAAATGCATTTAATTGGCTGCAGTTTGTCCCTTTGTAGGCTGTGAATACAATTTTATTCAGTCACTGAAAATTAATCCAATAATGTAAGTCAGTACAGTGCCCTCGGCCTCGAATTTCTCTGCTGATGATTTTAGGAAAAGTAATAGCATAAGTTTAAAATTCAAAAATCACCTAATTTAATTTTGAAAGCGTTTTCTGAATCAAAATCAAGGGAAAAAATTCTTTTACTTGGGTAATTCATACTTACAACTGGAATTAAGTCTCAAATTAACTTTACCATCTCATCCTTAATCAGTAAAACGCACATTAAAAAATTCAAATGCTCAAGCTTCGTAGACAGTTGCTTCAAATAATTCCTTGGAAATCAAAGTCGACACGCGAGTAAGGATTGCAATTAGAATAAGAGTAAATCGACTGGACATTCCGGTATACGATAAGACGTGAAATAATCCTGATAGAGGTTGGCATCACTAGTCAGGACAGGTTGATAGCAGTCGAAACCGAGAAGAAGCGAAAGTACGATTTTCTGGCTAATAAACTCGGGACAGAGATGAAATACAGAACGAAAATAATTCCGCATGTGATGACATAGGAAAGGATATTGATGAACTTCCATGGAAGTCGTGTGAAGGAAATCGGAGTATCTGATCATGTCGATGCTTATATCCAATCGATAGTACTCAAATAAAACGCCCAAAAACATCTCATTTGATCAACGCAGTGGATTTGACGAGGACGAAGCAGCGGAGATGAGCACAGCAGAACTGAGCGTGGGGCGAGTGCAGTATATGCCAGAATACGATTCAGCGCCAGATTCAATAATGAAGAAAAGAAGAATAAATTCCGTGTGATATTGATTTGATTTGATACATATAATGCTCGGCTCTGCCGAGCTGCCAAGCGGTTGGGCTGCCAGCTAGTCGATCGCATCACAAAGCAGGAAATGAAGGATAAACGGAAAAAATCCGAGTCTGAAATCACAAATTAAAACAAATAGAAAACAGGTGAAGTTGTTGAAGAAAGCTCCGTGAAATGGGAAAGCATTCGACCAGAGTACCGAATCAATAAAATCAAAGAAATTTAACCTCCGGCCTGCTGCACATTATATATATATATATATATATATAGGTTATATTTTCCAGGTTTGAAATAATGAAGGACTGCAGATTGTGCAGGATCAGGATCTTAGTAGTAACACATTATTTCCACCTATTTCTGGTTTTTCTTCCCATCTTTATTCTACTTTGATTTATTATGGAGACACTAAAAAAATGGATGGTATCAACAATCAAACATTCCAAAACGATGGAAATGGTAGTAAAAAACAACGGAACATCCTAGCAATCAATCAAATCAGTTATTGGTGGTTGCGAATGCGTTTCTGAAGAACTTCCCAGTTCATATACTTTGAAGAAGCGAAAAGAAGTAATGGACTTCATGCAACTTTTTGTTGCAACCTCTGAGGAAACGCAAATAAAATTAAAAAGAGAGATACGCATACGGTGTAGGGAGGAAGAAAAAACTACTGCTAAAAAAGTTAAGAAAATATATATAATCTTTTTCTTTTCAGTCACAATCTTAGAAAATAAAAAAGTAAATTACCTTGAAAAATAGTCAAGCATGAACGTCAGTTAATAAATGGAAAATTAACTATATCAAAATACAAAAGTTTCTTCATGTAAAAGACGTAAGAAGCAGGCAGTATGACTTATTAGCATACAATTTGTTTACTTCTGCATGTGGTGGCAAGCTTTATTTTTGAAGTGGTTGTGCCATTCTCAACAAGAGGCTGGGGATAAAATGACTGATTGATAAGTGAAGTGGGAATGATTAAACCAAACATTTGCTAGACAGAAGCAGCAGATTAGATAGAGTTAGTCATATCACATTTTAATGTTGATAACTTATTTGCTGTTTGTTGCTGCTATTCACTATCTACACGTATACATCCTTACATATTTACGTGTATGTAACATCGTTTTTTCATTTCTTAAATTAATTATCACCGTTGCTAAGGAATAAGACAAAAAATAATTTTTGATAGTGACGTCAATGTTTTTAATTTTTTTCCATAATCAGTCCTGATTTTCAATGCTTTTCATTGACTGGTCATTTGAAAGTAAAAACTCGTTTGTTTACTGCAGCAGTTTCTATTTCTCCTAACATCATGCAAATTTGAGAACAATTTATTCACTGGCATACTTTTTGTTTGTACTTGAAAGCCAGCTAACATATCAAGTTCGAAAACTTAAAGAGATTGTCAAATTTACAGAATTGCAGCACAACTTTAGATAATGAAATTAGAGGCATTTAATCTTCTCCACTGCCACTCCATTGTACATTTCACTTGATTAAAGTTCCGTAAAAGTCTAATGTTGGCTATTCTATAGACTAGTTCATTTAATATTGCCAGAGACTACCACAGACAGCAACAAAAATAATGCTATCGATCTTAGTTTAGTTAAGCACTCATTCCCTCACAGCTTCAAATCATAATTATGAGCGTTCGAGAAGGCTAACGGCTATGCTTCAATTCTTTTGCTCAACTCAAATCGCTTGAAACTTTTAATTTTTTCATTCATCTTCTCATCGAGGAAATCACTTGATAAACGATCTTTAATTACCATTAATTTCAGTTGGCCTAATTTACCTAAATTTGCATATGTAGCCGTACATTGATTTGCATCGAAACTAACTTTTGCTGAAATTGCACTAAGAAAGCTTCGAGGTTTGTTAAGAGTTGTTGATAATTGTAACTATTATAATTTTGAAAAGAGACGGCTTGTGTTCTCTTTCACTGCTTTCGTTGCTTTCCATATTGTCTTTTTGCAATTTAGAATTATTTGTCAATGGATTTTTTGAACTATTAATATAATTTCTTGCATTTTACTGTTTATGCGAGTAGTAATATAAATATCACATTTGCATGTCTACTCGATAACTGCTTTATTTGCATTTTTACGTTTGCAAAATATACGCTGTTTGCCAACTTTTGCAAGTTATTCTCTTCTGCAAATTCACGTTACACGATGATGCACTAAAGTTGATTGAGTAATTTGACATATCAATTTTTTCTCCTTTTTCTCCGTTTTTAACCCTGCAACTTTGCTACAGAAATATAGAATATACTAAATAGCATAACTTTCAGTGGAATTGATTTGAAACTATCAAATATTATTAAAATTTTGTGTGATTTATATTTCCTGCACATCTATTGTTGATTGTTTAAAATTGCTGCTTGTAGATAACGTAAGCTGAAAAATGTGCCTGAGTGCAACTTTCTACGTCGCTGTATCATGCATAATTGTGCAGTTTATTGCATTGTTTAACCAAAGGTTATGTGAAGCAGCTCGAGCCATAGGGAACCCTAGCGCGGTTATCACAGTCTCATCTGCGCGAACGTCAAAAAACAATCCATTACACTCGCATGAAAATGTGACCCTTTGGTGTCAAGTATGTTTTATCTGTCCTTTTCGAAGCATAATCTGAGCACTTATAATTTGCAATCTAAAATGTCAAACTTGTCTCATTCATACCTCAAAATCAATCATGCCTTGTACAAGTGAATTTCTCAATCACAACAAATAAAGGACTTATAACATTATGCCATATGAGCTCTCAAAAAGTTTTAATGATTTGAAGACATTTGTCTGGCTGATAAAAGTCAATAAAGGGATCATTTAAAAGAGCATATGCTATTGCAAACAATTTAGTGCGCTTCCTTAAATTAATATCTATTAAGAGACTGACCTAATTCCGATAATCTCTCTGCACTTGCAGTTTATTTTTTCTCAATACTGTAGCCTTTTCAGTGAGTTTTTTCAGGCAGAAGAACAAGGATCAGTTTTGCCAATCAAATCAGCGGTCTTTTCGCGGAAAAGAGACGGTTTAGTTTTGAAAGCCGAGATAAGTAGCGATCGTAAACGAGCTTACTATCATTTTGGATTGGCACATGTTGCTGATTCTGGCAATTATACATGCAAGTTAACTACTATTAATGGATTAAAAGTTAACGGAAATCACCAAATTTTTGGTATATTTTATTTATGAAAATAAGCACTAAATGTAATGTATTTTTGTCAAAATTAAAATGCCTACTAACGAAAAATAATTTTTGTTATTGGTTTTCTATTCATAAATCGAAATGCAAAGGATGGAAAAATTAATGCTTGGAATAATAAACTTATGACAGTTATGTAACAATTTGAAATTACTTGTTAAATGTTTATTTTCCAAGGAAAAATAGTAATAAGTTTTGTTTTCTAAAAACAAACAGAATAATGAATCTATATTTTACCGATTACTTGAATGATAAATAAATGAACTTGGGAATTTTAAATGAATTATTTGATTTAGTTCGTCCAGTGGTACTAGTAGATTCAGGACACTTTGAAGCTCAAAACAATGACCCCTTCAAGTTTTTCGGCCATGGAGTCACGGCCGTTCGAGGATCTTCTGTAGAGATCAACTGTCCAGTAATCGCTTTTCCAGCTGCTCGATTTTCGTGGACAAAAAATGGAAAAGAATTTAGTACTAATTACACTTTTATGATTTATCTTTCAACTATTACTTCTTGCTTTCTTCCTTAGTTGAAGTTTATTAATTCCTAATGAATACACGAGACATCTATAAAATTTCACTTGAATTATTATTTGAGTTATAATATGTTTGAAAAAAAACTGATAATTACAAAGAATTGATGGAATCGATTTTTCATGCGCATCTTTTTATTCCCTTGCTTTACCTTGAAATACATCAGTGACATTTACACGTATCTAATTTTTTTTTTACATTACTTTTTCAGGCGCAAAAGACCCTCGCGTGAATATACAAATTGATGGAAAAATAAGTATTGAAAAAGTAAACGATGGTGATAAAGGTATTTACGAATGCACAGCCACAAACGAATTTGTCGTGAGTGGGCACACAGAAGCTCATCAAGTGATGCTGAGCAGAATGCTACGAGTTAAAAGTAATATCTCAACAATTATTGCATATTTGTTATACAAATAATACTTATGAAAAACAATTATTTAGGCGAATTAGCATGGCTATGGCCGTTACTTGTTATCATCGCCATTATCACTTTACTTCTGCTGATTATTATATCATGTGAATGCAAAAAGAAAAGGAATGAACAGAAATTGTTAGTTGAATAATTTTTGTTTAATATATTTTTTTCATTAAGCAATTTTATTTTACAGCTTTTTAAATATTTTGACGAAATGTTATGCATCTAATAATAATACCTTCATAATACATTACTTAAACTTTACATTGCATATTATGGCGTCATGAAATCATGCCAGACTTCATAAAGGTATCATATCAAAGTCAGTTCGTCCATAAAAATTAAAAGATTTTATTGAAGTTGCTAGATTACATTTGCTTTCTTTTAACAATTAGCATATTACGAGCACTTTGAAAACTGGTTGCATTACTGAAAATATTTCACTGCATAAATTTAAAATAAATGTCAATTTTCAACAGTCTTTTAAATTCTTTGCATTGATTTTTCAAAAATCTCACAAAAAAATTTTTAAATGCACTCGACAAACACTGGAGCGAATTGATTTATTTTCACAGATTGGATGCTGAAGACTGACGAGGAGCGAAGCTTATTTGCAATGGCAGTCTTATGGTTTGAAAATGTATGCTATATAACAGAGCCAAGGAACAAATAATTCTATTTTCTCTGAGATTCCACGGCTAATCAATAAATAACTGATGCGCAATGCATTCTTAGGAGTTTATCGACTTGTGCAGATCTCGTAAATGGCTTGTTATAAAAACAAATTATTAAATATAAGCATAATTTTCAGATTAAATGTGCATAACTTATCAAATTATTTTCAGGCTATCAGTCAAATTTCATTTACTACATAGGAAATAAAAATTGTGAAGTAACAGAAAGGCACGTCGCAAGCTTTGAGCAAAAAGTTAAGAAAGTATTCTAGACTGAACTTATAAACTGCACAAGTAATGTTTCTTTTTTAAATATAATTTTTATCTATTGCCCACAATCTGTTAGTACTATTTTACTAGGTGATGTATTTTTGGCTAATTTAAAATAAATTGATACTTAAAAATTTTGTGTTTGTTATATTTCTGTACTACTACCATATTAATATACGTGAAACATCTTGAAAGCTATCTGATGATAATATGCTATGCTTACTTTGGATCTGGATGAAATCACTGTTGTTTGTAGTCAGTTACTTAGTGAGCGAGCATATGAATACAGATGAGAGAAAATTCATTGAATTGACTACTGCCCTGTTGAGTCGAATTTTACAGATGAGATCGAAAATGCATTTTTTATGCAAGATTCAGCAATAATTTAAGTGAAAGTACCACGGAACATCTCATTCTTATTGTTTGCATTTATTTGTTCCTCAGCTCTATTAGTATCTTTTTTACGGTATTTTACAGTATGCTCATTGTTACTGCATGCCATATTTTGATTATTTATCATAAAAATGCGTTGTTTTCTTGTTAGAATTAGTTTCTGCAGCTTTTTATGCAAACAAGAAAGAAAAAAAGTGCTTGAAAGTATCTGTCAAAGACTACAAAAAGAAACTACCATTTTTGTGTTCATTTTCTTACTTTTGATTTAATCAGTCATTACAGCAGTGATAAGTAGCAAGTTATCAAATGGTTTGATTTTTCGTCATCACTTGAATATAACGTGCTGGAGTCAATTTGCATCAAATAAGTTAGAAGAGAATATTCAATTAACTTACTTCTACCTCAGCTTTTTACATCTCAAATCGCATTTTTTTTTCACTATATTCATACTTTATTACAGTTTTAAAGCTATATAATTTAATTTGTGATGCGTCGTTAGAACTTGAGATTTGACACAAATTGAAAGCTTACCTTGATATACTTAATAGTAAATTATTGACCTCCATTCTTAAAATTTTTGGTGAAAAATGCTTAAACATATGCTAACTGCATACTATTCACTGAGTCGGCATGTGTTGCATTCCAAATCGCAGTTGTATCCATCCGTATGCTAAATTTTCAAAATATGGAGGAAATATTAAAATGATCAATTTGACCAAACAACCACGGATTATTCGTAAAATAGAGTTTTTAGTGAGTACTATTATTCCTATTGAATTTTAATTTCTTTCAAGTACTGAAGTGCTGCTGCTATTTAGACGGCTTTTACTAAGTTTTGTCAATTTCATTGTAAGTGGATCAATCTGCTTGTAAGTACGACATTTTTGGTTCACAATTTTGCCAAATTTTTTAGATTTAGCAATGAAAAATGATGATAGTCGAGCCTTGTGGCACATTAAGAAAACATCTTCGAGATCAGTGGATTCAGAAGAGTAATGACAACCACAAAAATAAGTCAGTTTTCAGTAGAAAGTCATTCGCAGCAACGCACAACATAAAAAGGGTACATAATCTCTGAAATCATAGTGCATTACTCATGATTCATTCATAAACAGACCTAGAAATTCATAAATTCACTCTTTATGAGCACTAATCTCAAAAATCAATAACTATCATTTGGTTTCTATAACAAGAAATAATACTTGCAGATGAAAATCAATTATAAATTTGCAGCAACTGATGTCAGCTATTTTAAGTTTGTTGAATAAATTTTTGAACTATAGAAAAATAAAAAAATGAGAACAGTATACTATACTTGTAAATTCATCGGAAAGGAAAAAATGTAATTGTGAGTTGCTGAGGAGAGAATTTATGAGTATATCTTGGCACTGTTTATTATTTCACTTGAATGAATATTCAATAATTTGTGCTACACTAATAAAATGATCATATAAGAAAGTAAAAAATCAAACAGGAATATTATACACGTTCAGTTTTCGGAATTATAGAACAATAAATAAATACACATCGAGAGAACTAGTTCATATAGTTATTATAAGAATCAAACTACGTGGCTTTTGTACTGACTCTAAACATTTTAAAGAGAACATTTAGTAATCAGAACAGTTTTTAAAATGATTCCATGCTAAATCGAATAACGATGAAAAAATGCTTGAATATAAGATCAAATGAAAAGAGAAAAAATAAAACATTTGGAATTTGCAACAAAATTTTAAATAGAGCACGATAAAAAAATTTTCAGTCTATGGAGTGGAATTGCACATTGTCAGAGTGCAGTGAACTTTGACCCGATTTTTGTCTTGCTTTTATTTAAACTAAAAGTAGATAGATTTACTTCAACATTCGTCTAGCTTCTTGGAACAGTTGACATCCGTTGGTCAACCACAACCACCACAGCCACCACAACTACCACAACCACCACAACCACCACACGCACCGCAAGCACCTGCGAAACAGACTTCTTATTGTGATTAAAAACTCTACAGTTCTCGAATGAATCATAACAAAACGTGAAGTGTCAATGGGAAATCAAACCCTTGTTGGTTGCTTGGACTAGCATAAATAAACTAGGTATAAACTGCAAAATTATACAAAATATTACAATAATCTTGAGCCCTTATATCTAGAAATGCAAAACTTGAGATAAGCAGATGTTAATAGAGGTAACAGATGTAACCTAATGAAGCAAACGTGAGATAATAATTGACTCACCACAAGCGCCACAGGCTCCACACGCAGCTCCATCACAAGTTCCCACGCACATGGAGATCATTAACGCTGTTAGATGCAATCCTTCGATAGATTCCTGTTGAGAAGCTAAGTAACGATTCGATGGTAGCGCCTTACCATAACCACACGCCATTGTCAGTGGCCATTTATGGCATTGATGTGCAATGCTGTTTGTGTCACTATGTGAACGAACCTGAAATGTAACTATTTTGGACCAAGACTAATCACATATTAACATATTAATCTTGGATTAGGTGGATTGTTATCTGTTACACTCTTGAAATAAATTCATTATTTGACTTCTAACAAGTTTTATAATCACGTAAAATTTGCATAATTATTCGCATCTACCAGTGTAAAATATTTTACTTCGAATTATACTAAGAATCATAATTTAAATATTATCACAATTTACCAGTGGATAAATTATAACTATTAAGAGTTGAAAGCATGGTATATGGTACCTTGTCAGGATTACAAAGTACAAACAGAGTTGCAACACTAAAAACACAAGCAATATGTTCAGCAGTTTGAATCGAACGGCACTGTATTCGTTTACCTGGCAAACGAGCTTGTGCTTCTGCAAGTTACTACATTCTTGTAGGATTCGGTTATAACTAAATTACGTAAAATGAATAAATTTATAATTACCACTTACCTCCAATAATGAATAGAGTGCTTCCTTCTAAGCCTGGTACTTCTAATTTCTGCACGGTATTCTTTAACAAGTTGAATACATCTACCTTGAAAGAAGTTATAGTGAAGTTTTTTCTAGACAGTAAGAAATTAAGTATTTAAGCAAAAGTAAAAGACCCACTCGTAATTTTCCAGGACTTCCCGGCTTTGCTTTCTGCCCTTTGTCACCGGGAATTTTTCGGCTGAAACCAACCCATTTTCCTTTAACAATGGCAAAATCACCGTCTCTGTTCATTACGACGAATGCGCGCTCATCTGGAGCTGATAAATGAGGTAGAAACTGCTGTAAAAAGTTGCTTTTTTGCATTCAAATTAAAATTATAATTAAATGTACAGAAAAAAAGTTAAAGACCAAACTGCTTTTGAAAAACTGACCAAATTAGTATCAAGCTGATCTTTCGATGGAAGAGTATCTGCACCAACTAAATGTGCCATACACAATAATCTTTGCTGACTACCATATACCAATATCATTGATAGCAATAACGAAGCACTGTGTACTACTTGTACAGTACATTTTGTGCCATCACGAGAATCGACTAATCTAGAAATTATAGTATTCCTCAATTAAATTCTTATTTTATAATATTTATTAAATTAAAAGCAGAGTTAATTTGTGTTTTCTTTACATATTCTGAAGGGCATACTATATAAATTTTTAGTTTCTAAAATTCAAACTGTCATAATACACAATTAGTTTTACTATTAACTGCTGCTCACAAATTAAGGTTCAACTGTAATAAATAAGTATAATTGCGTAACACTTTCAATTCATAGTTTTTTTGTTTGGTATTAGTTAAGACGATTTAAGCTTTGGAAAAAAGTACTCATGAAAAGAAAAAAATACTCTTTCCAATACAAAATGTTTTTTTGACAAGTATTTGTGGAAGTTTAAGATCACTTTTGATGCAAATTACAAGCTGTTCAGTTCAAAGTCGATTCATGGGTCAGGGAAAGATGCAAAACAAACGTATGTGTTGCAATGTGAACAGTCATTGAAGACTGCAAAGCAGCGCGATTTAATGCTGCTGAATGACACAGAAACCACAGACGAGTGTCAGGAATCAGTTCCTGTTGGACAAACTCACCAACAATCAGATGAAGTTCGCGATTCAGCGATAAACTGTAAAAAGCTATGACAATCTGAGCGTAGCATGCAGGAAAAAAAAGCAGTAATGAGCAAAATTAATATAGAAAGCGGTACAGAGTAAGAAATTACAAGTGCTTTATTGTCATTTTCAATTTCGTTGTCAGCTGTTGCTTGTAGAAATCATTTTTTAGCAACCATTTATTAATGGCAAAAAATTACATTTCATGCTTAGATTCGAAATAAATTAAAGATGACATTTTATTTTGTATGAAAGTTTTTCAAATAAATATTCAAATCGTTCTTATAAAACTAAGCTTCAATTCAATTTTTTTGAGAGCAACGGTTTATGTTTTGCGCTAATTATACCATATTTTGACTGATAGAAATCACAAAAAGCATATGAGGTGAGATGAACTTAACTAACTTCGTTGTTACGTTGACTTTTGCCTTTAATTCGCTAGCCAGTTCACGACTTTTCACACTGATCTGTGCGATATTTTGGGACATTTTTGAGTTCGATGAAGGAAGCAACTGAATAAGCACATTTTACACAACAGTAAATCCGACATCACAAGCGATGAAGCGATAGAAAATTAGAAATTACACAAAGATGAGTTCAGATCGAGGTTAACCTCTTCTAACGAAGCATGACCAGTCAGCTTGATTACATCTTTTTTCTGCAGGAATAACTTGTCAAACAATTCCAACTCTACAAACAGCTCCTTCGGGTTACTTCGTTCAAATGGAAATTTCACAATCGACGCATGAGCACTATTTTCGGTTGGCTGCCAGACGAGTGAGAAACCAGCCTTTGTCACCTAAACTCTTCAAATCAAAATAGATACACCGAAGCTACGTGGTCAAGAAAAATTCAAATTATACTCGTTTAGAAGTAAGATCTGCATTGAATGTTGTGACTTTCTTATTTCCATACAGCAGTTTCAAGCGCAGTTGTTCACGTTGTAGAGGAATTTCTCTGAGAGCAATCGATGGAATATGCATTTGGCCGTAAGCGACGTTACTTAAATCTTGCGCTTCAAAACCAAGAAAAAATGGCGCTGGATGTCCCCTGAACTTCAGTTTCATTAAAAGCTTTCAAATATTTTTCGATAAATTATAAAAGCAGCTGAATGAAGTCTGATAAACTGAAGTCTGTTCAATAATACCAACCTGTACATGGAGCCTCTGCGCCAGAAGCCCTTCTGGAAATGAGCAGTCCAAAGTCGTTTAGTCATTGCTTCACCCTTCAATAGTTTACTGTTTTTGGAGCGATCGTTTACTGTATCGTCATGCTTCATCAACCATCCGAAAATTGCAGTACAATCACGAAGATAATTATGCGGATGAACCTGTAAACATCCGAATAATATTTCGCAGTCTTCAAAAAATATTGTATTTTCTTGGTTTTAAATTTTTTTAAACAGAAATTGTGCCACCTTTTTGCAGTTCTCTGGCAGTTGCAAAGCTTTTGTTTCAGTAGATATTTACTTTGCTTTGAGATTAACTTTAAAAAAGTACACACTTGATGGGTGTGCCAGACAATATCAAAATCGTAACAAGGAGTAAGGAACTGATCCGTGTAAGTTTGTTTCAGTAGCAAGAAATTGAGGTAACGCTCGACAGCATCGGTAATGAATTTTGGCGATGTGTAATGTGGCAGAGAGATCTGAAGTTCGTCAATAGCATCAAATAATGTCAACCGAATTAGTAGTTATGAGAGCATTCCATTTAAATTTATGCACTTATTATTTATGTTATGAGAGCTGTTGAAAATAAATGGAATTACTGTTCTGTAAATAATTTACTTTAATCTTTGGGAACTTACAACATGCAATAAAATTTCATTTCTAAGAGCTATTTTCCTTACGTAAAAATATTTTTGCGCTAGCACTGAACCTAATTTCTCTTTTTGCAAATCATATAGCAAAATTCGTCTTTAATTAAAAATTCCGCAAATTAGTAAACTCATAACACCATTCAATCCCTCAAAACATGAGAACGAAGGTCAAAATTTCCTGAAAGTTGAACACAGTTGATCATTGAATTTTATTATTTAACATTTTATTCTTGAGAACAACCTGTACACTTACTGATTAAAAAAAATTATAAAAATGAAGTGTTGCCCAAAAGTAATTAAAATTTATAGCAAGGTTTTAAATAACAAGGATAAAATGGGAAACGAAATGAAAAAGTGAATAAACTCAGTTCCACATATCTGAAGATTGTTGCTCCACAGTTTCAACACAACTGTTTAAAAAAAAATTACTGCTACATACTCATGACTTCAACCAAATATATAAAATATTGATGTACAAATAGGAGTATACATAAGTGCATTTTGTTTCCTTCCCGTTCACTTTTAACGCTTAATTTGAAAAAATTCATAAACTTGGGAAGAAATTAATGGTACTTGGAGTATGTAATTGTTCTGCCATATACATTGTGTAATCACCTGGTAATTAAAATTGCGTTGTCGTTGTGCAGCTGCAGCGATATCATAGGATGATTTTTGTTGATATTGCGGATGACTGCTTGCTTTTGAACACAAAAAATCGTAAGGTTCATCACCACAGAAACGCTTCCAAGTGCTAACTGACTGCTCATAACGCTGTTGAATTTCATCTGAGCTCAACAGTTTATGATCAATCACGGCACCACAAATAGTTTCACAGTCCTACAAGATCATTGCTAGTTCAGTTTTAGAGCTCTAATTGCAGTTGTTTTGTGTCTAGTTATTGTGATATAAGTAGGCATACTGGTTGATATATAAGTAGGCATCTTTATTTAAAATAATAGCTCGGAATAGTTATTTCTCATATACCAAGTCACTGTTTGCAAATGGTGAAAAAATATTAGGCGCCACTGCTGGGCAATCGACAGAGAAATCATCTTAAAAAGATGTCTGTTAAACTTGTCTCAAGGACAGCAGGAACGAGATGAGACTTTGCTAAGCAATTTTTGAGGAATCAGCGTAGCTACATAAGGCAAGGAGTTGCTTGGGTATGTTGAGCTTTGCATGCAAATTTACCTGTTGATAGTGCGTGGGACTGAGCATATGGCAGTGCCAGACCCAGTGCACATCTAGTGGTGGAATATTGTTCACGTCTGGACGCGATGCCTGCAAAATATTTTTAAAAATTTGCAAACATAATAACTTAAAAACTTAAACTTTTTACTACTCATTCATAACTCTACCAGTTTACTATTTTGACCTGACAATAGTGAACTGAGGGATACATATTTGGTCTTTTTTCAATATTAATGAAAGGAAGTTATGATTCAGAAATATGGGTTGATGAAGTTAAACAACAAAATAATGGCTCTAATTCTGCAAAAGACATTATATCGTTTTATTTATAAATTAGTTGTTCTATTACAGAATCTAAGCTAAGATACTTCATTTACGCTTGCTTGAAATTCCTCCAAAAAACTTTACCAGCTAGACATTTCAGTCGTACTATTGTTGCTATTATATGTCAGGAATGTAACAAATTCCTTATTTGCTTTCTTTATTTCAGAACAACTATTTAATGCACTTCCTACTGCGCGATCTTTAAATCAACATTGTTTGAACTTGCGATGACGAAGAAATTAGTGGTAGATAATGTTCGCTATCAATATTTTACACACTTACTTTCTTAGCAGATAGCATCTCTTGCTTGTGCTCGAAGAAGCGAAGCAGAGTTGTTGTAGGCTAAGACAATTACTTCACAGAGACCACTTAAGAGGAGCAGTTAAAATGTTATTTACTCTCAGGTCAAGGAGTTGGGCATTCTGCTTTGCATTCATAGTCTATGCAGCAAACATAAAAAAGCATCTATCAGAAATCAGCAGAAAACAACATAAATTCATGCAAATTTAATTTTTCTATTGGTATAACCACCTTCATAAATAACGAATTTACTCAATAACCTCATGAAATGATGATCAATCACTTGCTAACACTGCATTAAGTACCACATCAAGAAACGCCTTCAAATTTTCGCTGAGAACAATGAATTTTTTTGTTAAACAACCTAAAACGCCAATTTCTTGACATACACTGATCAGCTAGATTGATGCAAATATCAAATTAATTCAAAATCACTTCTCAGATCTATTCTTGCTTATTTTTTTCATCAAGGCAAAAAGATTACATTTTCAGAATCAAACAAGTATCCAAATAATATTGTAAGGAAGCAAATCCAATCATTTCCATGAGCGGAATCAGAACAAGAAAAGACTTTCTTTCCTTTTTATAAAAAGCATTTAAAGTTAATAATAAGCGAAAACAGTAAAGTTTGTGCAGACTCAATCATTACTGCTTAAAAATCAGAGCATTAGCCATTTACATGAAATACAAAAACAGTGGTATGCTCACTCGTCTATTTTGGTCAGAATTAGCAAGACTGAATGATTTTTATGCTCTTCATAGGACGAATATTTAAAGTTTAGCAATTGCGAGCTAAGAAACTCGTGAGTTTGAGCGTGCTCATGATAATGAAAACAAAAAAAATTTTTTTCTGCATTCATTCTAAGCAAACTTTAATTCATCCACTAGTGTATAAAAAAACAAATCATATATCAAATTCAACTCAGTGAAATTAGCAGTATCGAATAAATGGATGGAAAATGTATATGTGAAAGGACGGCTCAGATCATGCCAACACTTGGGCCTATTTTTACACATCGTATCGTTTAACGAACTCTGCTACAGAGTAAGCAGTTGATAAAATTATGCTCAGCATTTCGTTAATTCGAAGTACATTTAATCGATTAATTCAAAATTTGAGCATGAAGAAATGTCATTTGTAATAAATATTGCACTAATTGCAAGATAGCACAAAATATAGTGGATGAAGTAATGAAGGAGACGGAAACTCAGTCATATAGTCCAATTATGCTAATTACTACGTCTTGAAGAAGAAACGCGCGTACCTGCATTGGAAGCCAGAAACATTCGTAACGCCGTATGGCATTTTCCACAACTGACCGTTCGTAAAGTACAGGCACTTTGCGGTCGATCATTCGCAAAAAGTTCGCCTCTCTTTGGCTTCCAGAGACCAAGTCAATGGAAATGCATTTGCGCATTTGCTCTAAGGTAGATCTAAGAGTAGGAACTATTTGATCGTACTCTGGAGGTCGCAACGGCACAGGTGTACTTGTATTTGAACAGTTTACATTGCTGTCACTGGAAATGTCGCGAGACGCATGACTCGGGCCGGGCAAATGATCCGCAAATGGGGCTTGTGTAAAAGAGGGCACACTTCCCATTTATTTATTTATTTATTTATCTATCTTTTTGTGTGAAATGAGTCAGACGAGAAATGGACTCGAATCTATTCAAAACAAGTCACGTCACCCAGAACCGGAACTGGGTAGCGAGCGAGAGCAAGTAGTCAAATTGGTTAGCGCGCCTGCAAACAACTGCAAAGCAAACAAGCAAAAAATGAATTGCAGGTGTCTGCTTTTCCGATGCTGTTAGTATTTACAGAATGTTAGAGGACGGAAAGAGTAATATACTTACTCGTTCACTCACTCACTAACTTACACTTTCTTACTTTCCTTAGAAAACGTCAAAAGACGTTTCGTGAAGTGAGGCGGCAGAGAGGCGTAATGGAATTATTAAGCAAATGCTTGCTAGCCCAGCGAACGAACCGATGGCTGTCCGCCTACTCTGCTTGACTACATGTCTTTCCTTCATGCAAACTAAGGCTTAACATGAACCAACCTGCTGCAGTCCTCAATATTTCTTCTTAAGAATTGGCACTAACATTTTTCTTCTTATCAATTCTTATCATCTTTTACCACTGCTCTATCTTTTCTCAATCCCATTTATATTATCATTTTACAGTCGTATATCAACAGGATTTAACTATCGAGCGATTGTCTTAACTTACGCTCGTTCTTTAGGTCAAGGAACTGAATTAATTTGGCCAAAATGTGGACTGCTATCTTCAGCGAGTGCTTATAATTTGCGTTTGATAAGTTCACATTAATTCAGTTAGTATACTCTGTAATGCTACCAGTTGACCACTGCATTTCTTGCTGTATTCGATCTTATATATAAATTGAATCAGTATTTTAAATAAATTAATCTCTTCATAGTTATCGCTAGTGAAAATAACCTTGGAGAGATACATGTAATTCTCACAAATATAATCCAATTTTTGAGTTTTTCTGAAGAATAGTAACGAAATTCAAACTGCAACAATCAAACGGATTGATACAAGGAAGCTGTTCCTAAAATGGTATTCTGATTGATCTTTTGGTCCATGCAATGAGCTTTTGCTCCAACAATATATAATTTGTAAAGGATTTTTTTTTTCAAATTACCTTGAAAACTAGCACTAAGTTCTAAAGCAATAATTGATACATAGAAAATGCATTTAAAAAGTATTCACATAAATAAATAATTCCAACTTCAAATTATATCTAGTTTAGAACAGATTCGCATAATAATATTACCACGATTCGATATAACAATGTGCTAGCAATATCATTCCCTTGCACTTCAAGTGTGTGAATTATAATAGTAATAATAAATAAATTTTGGTTATTCTAGCATTAATAATACTACTACTAGTAATAGCATGGTTTTACAGCGTTAGACAAAGTTTTTAAGGAGTGGCGTGAGAAACAAACATGTATCGCATCAGAAATACATTAAGACTTATACTGAAAAAAGCTCTTGTTTTTGGAATGGCAAAAAATTGAAAACTATAGCTGGTAATACCCTTTCATTGCATTATTCTTTGTACATTTTGCTAACACCACCATAATTGGGGGTTCAAGGATAAAATCTATCTTATAATTATCATATCAACTCAATGAATTAGTGAATTTTCTTTTCTAGGACACTTCAGAAAACAAAATTTATTATCACTTGATGATATTCCAGAACCAATCGTCCACGAAGTATTTACAGAATTCTGACTTCATCATGAAGCATTAAAGTTCTCATGTTACACACAATGTTCAGGTTCATCTATTTTATGAGATTTTACTTGGTACAAAAAGATGCACATGAAAAATAAATGCTCACTCAGAAAGCAAAAACAAGTTAATATGAGCGAGAAGCAACAATATTTATTCAATATGAGGCTTCAAACTTATGCGTGTATGGATAAGAATAGAAAAAACAGGATAGTGTGAAGAGATTAAGCTTATAAAAATAGTGAACTTGAGAACACCACTGTCATTTCACTGATGCTTTCGGGATGGAAAAAAGAAATCGTCGAAACCTTTGAAGAAATCATCCTCTACTTTCTTCGACAAACTTTGCTGTCCTGGATTTTCTCCTGTTAAAAATCGATCAACTTCATTTACAATTCGATTCATCAACTCCTTTGGTGATGAAAGGGGCGCGATCTAAAAACTACTCTGACTTAAACTTTCCATCAAAAATTGCAAAAGCCTACTCCCAACAAATAACGTTCAATATACACACAGTTATCTCTTTTTCTTTCTAAAAATTAAAACAAATTATCACTTTTACACTACATTTATAGCTAATTATAAATAATTTCTGGTCCCATGTTATTATGAGTTTGTTTCGACGACCCCTTTTACATTATTCAATGCAATTTAAATGAAACTCATAGACATTTAAAAAATATTACATCGCGATTCTGATCCAAATAGATGCCCACGTAGACGCCCATTCCAAAGGTTATCTGGAAGTTTCAATACAAGATACTTTTTATTCAGCAATACTGAAATGCAGCAAAGAAAAAACAAACCAAATTGTTCAAAATGCAGATGAAAATAGTGAAGAACTTACAAGATTTTTCAGCATAACTGCTACAAATAAGGCTAAGCAGATACCGATTAAATCAGTGGAACCTGAAAAATGTGAAACATATTGCACACTTCAAATAAATACATAAAGAATCATTAGAATACCGCAACTTCAGAATTCTGAACGCTAACAAAAATGTAAGAGGAGTAACAGTAACTTCACAACAAATTATAATTTGCATCGCAAATAAGCAAGTTAGAAAGCTACAGAAAAGACCCAATGAATGAATGGAAAATACTCTGATCGACTCAAGGATGTATGTCATAAGAAGTTGATGAAAAGAACTTAGACAGCCTGCGTCATTTTTTAACATTAATAATTAACGCAGAAATTACTGCAGTGGTCCCGTCAGTTTTCAAAGCATTAGTAGTAACCAGTAAGAATTTCCGATGAGTGCGACCTCCGATTTATACCCATCTTCCACATTTCTCGTTACAAAAGAATCGAAGTTTACCCTTAAATATTATACACATTCCTTGAGCACATATTTTAATTTTCAGGTTTAGGCTCATATTGTTCTGATTGATCATTCACAGCTTAAATATTTGGAAGTCAAAACAGTCCTATACTGTACTTCCAGCAAAATCAATGAGAGTTTATTCATTTTATTTCTTTAGTCAAGTTTCTAAAAAAGTAAATCTATAATTTTCATTTTTTCGTTCATTGCATGACTTGGCTTTTTGAGACCAGGTTTATACGTACAGCAAGCCAGAGAGAGACTAAAACACTAGTCTTTTAAATAAAAACCTATTAAGACATAAGCGAAAAAAGAAGAGCACAAAATGCATGATGTTGATTCATTCCGCTTCCCTGTTTAATATAATGTGCCAAACAAAAACTGAGAAGTTCATAGAGTTGAGTTGCAAATGCCTATTATACTGATTCACGCGCTCAAGCTGAACAATGAGTTTGAATCAATGCAAAACGATAAAGGAGCCAAAAAAACGTTAATATCTGGAAGCAGTACCGTAAATAGGTGCAACATGTGTTACAGCAAAGTTAAGCGAAGAAATGTGATGAGTACGAGTCAGTAACGAGCTCAGAAAATAAACCGACTAGCAAATTGTCAAGTTTTTTGATTGCTCAACCGCACAATAAATAATAAATGACTTATAATTTAGAGAGACATACAAAGCTGTTAAGAATCCATTTATAATCCACTCCGTCATTAGTGCAGCAATACTGGTCATAAAAAATTCAAGTACGAAAATAAGAACAGACTTCAAAGAAGAACTCAGATTGCTGACATTTTATGTCACTGTAGTGCATATTCCGAATTAACAGTTCAACATAAATGCTAATCCCTAATCATAAATTAGACATTATTATGAGGTTAAACATGAATAAATGTAAGCAAATAACACCAGCAAACTGTGCACTAAGCATCAAGACTAAAACAAAATCTCTTCACAATATATCAGTTACTCACGCAAGTAGCGAAAATTGACACGGTTTGGGTTGCCTAGGACGAAATGCAAAACGTATATCAAACGCACTTCTAAACTAAGCCGCAGGAAATGACACATTTACTCCAAGGCTCACCTCCAACATTACCGTAGGTGGGGATTCTGCAGTAGCAAGAACAGGAAGTGACAAATAACAAGACTTGGTAATGAACTACAGGACTACTACTTCTGAATGCATGTATTGCAGATAATTCGTTTAATAGAACTTTAGGTATGGTTATATCGAATGGTGGATTCATATTCCTCACTGCAATGGAAATGCTTTAGAGGAAACTCCAACGGAAGAATTCCTAACGGAATTTGCAATAATGAAGTTTAATGAACGGCACAACTTGTTACGTTTCTCACAGATTTTTGGACAACAATTATAAGTCTTATGCTTCCCTGCAGTCGGATCGCTGCCATCTTCCAGTTTTGATTGGAAGACTCTACAAATATGACAGAAAGATATAATTTTAATGCAAAATCCAACAATAACTTTGAATATAGACATGTCAACAAATTATTTTTATCATTTATTAATGTCAAAAACCGTATTATTTAATTCTGTTTTCAATATATAATTACAAATATTTGTTTGAAGAGTAAGAATAAAAAAGGCAATTCTTCTACATTTGCATAATTTGGTCATACTCTTCTCTTTTCCATGAGCGAGCTTGCCTTCTAAGCATTTCTTATAAATTCATAAATTAAGCCAACACAACTGCTCTCTTTCTTGTGAGGGCTCATTACAAAGTCATGGCAATTCAATTCTTTCTTTCCTCCATTACAAGCGAAATATTTGAACTTTTGTCCAATAAAGGATAAAGTACATTATTCGCACTTCGGTTTGTTTGGATTTTCTTTTACTTTGATTTGATTCAACAAATCATCAAAAGCGGATTTTTCAATACTATCAGCAACTTCATCTTTTACTTCCACAACATCTCTTATCTCCGGTACATAAAACTGTAACATGTTTTTGATCCCAGACTGAAGAGTTACAGATGAACTTGGGCATCCTGTACATGACCCCTAAAAAACATAATGAACAATCTTGCAAACTTTTGACATCTCACGTTTCAAAGGAAATTAAGATGAATTTCAGTTTCAACAAAATGGAAAAGGGGAATAAGAGACAGCAGTACACAAAAAATGGCAAGTTTTATCTTTTCCTAAAACCTTTTGTTTTTGATCGCTTTTCCTATTTTACCTGCATCTTAAGATGAACCACACCATCATAATAACCCTTGAAAACAACGTCGCCTCCATCTTCTTGTACCATTGGCTTAACACGACATTCAAGAAGTTCCTTAATCATTGCTACCGTATCACTATCTTCGGGTTGTATTTCTGCATTAAGTATAAACCTTTGTGTAGTACCTTTGAACTGATATCAGTGGTATCAAGAGAGTGTTACAACGTACATTTATAAATCAACATATCATCTCTTCGAAGATAAATAATAGAAAATTCCTATTACCTGTATCTTTAGGATTTTCCGGTATTTCACCTTCATTTACAATCGGTTTTTCAGATTGAAAATAATCCATAAGTATCGCGAAAATTTCGGGCTTAAGTACTGCCCATTCATCACTTTCATCTTTTTTTGTTATAGTAATATAATCGCTACCAAATAAAATGCTTTTCACTCCATCAATCCGAAATAATTTCCTAGATTTAGCAATTTCTACATTCGACTAACTTTAAATGAAATATTCCCCTTCTATCATCATTAGAATTATTTTTAATGACAAAATGGATCTCAGATTTAAAAGAAAATAGTGGCTAAAACACTCACATTGCCAACGGACTTTTTTTTGCAGACGAAAAGTTAAAGAAATCCAATGTCCCTTTACCCTTCCCCAAAACTGCTCTACCAGGATTAAATTTCAGGGTAGCTGGATTTGGAGTTTCTTGTACTTGGATGAAAACATTGCGAATCTCGATGTCTTTAGCTCCTGAATTGGAAAATCTTTAAATATATACGATTAATCATAAACTCTCCAGCTTTAATTTTGTTCTTATGAGCAACTACCAAACTAAACTTGCCAAAACATAAGTCTCCAACGAAAATAAATTCAAGTCAAAATTTTGCGTCAGTCAGATTTCTCACTTTATAGAACTTTACGATATTCTATCTCAAATAATTTGACATATTACCAAAAGTACGCTAATCACTAACTTTTCTCTCGACTGCATTCCTAAGTAGTCTTTCAAGCTGTGTATAAAATCCCAGTACCTCAACAATAACATTCCTCACTTTATAAAAAAGAGCACTACAAAACGTCTTGCAACCTCATGGTTAATTTCCATGCCAGCATCAGACATCGAAAATTATATACCACAAAATTCACCTGGGAATCTTGATCCTGATAGCAAACCACCATATATATGTCTATACTTCATATACCTAAATGCACGCCATTTCCACATTCTACGAAACTGATCGCAATAATTTTACCAATATTTGCGTGCTAACTCACAACTCATATAGAGCACTGAAAATATCAAAAATATTTATTTCATCTAGACACCACACTTTTCAACCACATGAGGAAAAATCCAGAGATGTAATACGTGACTCGATATATCACAAATCTAAGACAGTACTCGCTAGAAACCACGAATATCATCAAGCAGTTTCATCCATGCAACTGTTTTTTTATGAAAAAATATACCAATTAGTTAATGAAATATTATAAGTGTTTTCAAACATTCAGGTTTATTGTTATTCTTCAGAATCAAAGCGTACAAAGAAAATAAGAATTATCAACAGAACTTCCTTCACACGATAACCAGATAATCAAGAAGCAAACGAGACTTTTAGATAGATGAATTACAACAACAGCTCTGTAAATAAGAATCTGCAAATTACAAATTTAAAAAATTTAAACAGCCAATACTTCATGGAAAACTACAAAAAAACAAAAAAAAACTAGCTCCAATGATATTTTAAGTAATTTAAGATAAACGATTCCTTAGTAGTCATAGTTAAATTTTTTCAGCCTTCATTCAATTTTCCCTAGTTACATCAAGTCAAAAACAGATCACAACTGGAAAATTTTGCATTACCGCAGAAACACTGCATAACAAGATCCAATCCGAATTTGGAGCAACAAAGAATTTTACTTTATAGTTCTAATCAAAGATACCATTAAATGACAAAGATATTTAGAGGTAGATGGTGGTGAAAAACGATGAAGATAATGAGCAAACCACCACCACCATTTACTCCACACCAAGAAGCTCAACATCAAATATTAAAGTCGAGTTTGGTGGGATAGCTCCCGGAATACCTTGACTTCCATAGCCAAGATCAGGAGAAACAGTTAGCTTGGCGCGCTGACCAACAGACATCTGCAAAATATATGTTTGAGATGGCATAAGTAATGAAGTACCAGTTAATATGAAATGTAAAAGTATTATAGTTTAAAATTTCAAGAGTTTGAGATCGCGATCAACGGAACATCTAAAACATGAAACATACTTTGGCAACACCTTCGTCCCACCCTTTGATAACTTCGCCACAACCAATCTTAAATTTGAAAGGCTTACCACGAGAACGGGAACTGTCTACCTATAAAAAACTAGTTTCAAATACTCCAAAACTACCAGATTACTATGTTTGCAAAACTAATCTCATATGGTATTTTACATATGTCAAAAAACATTTACTTCCTTTCCATTTTCTAGTGTCAAGACATAGTGGCATGTCACGGTTTGTCCTGATTTTGGAAAGGTTTTACCTGAAAACTGTTAAACTTAAGCAAGAATAATTGTAGAGTCGATATCAATGATAAATTATGCGTTTCAAGTAACCAAACCGTGCAACTCAACACTTACAACCTACAAATCACAACTAGATATAAAATACAAAGAAAACTGACCATCGCCTTCTTTACTGTTATCAATCTTCACTGGCATTCTGTATTCAAAATATCTGAAATTGAAATACACTGAATTGAAAAAAAGATATCGCATTTTGAGAAATTCGAAAAACCTGTAATGCCCTTTACATACAATATTATAAAATGCAACTGATGGGACAATACACCTAGTTACATAGTACCACGGTCAAAATAAAAGCAAAAGCGTAACCCGACTTAGTCTATCATTAGGACTTCATCAGTTAACAACGTGAATAAATAAAACAATAAAGTGGCAAAATAAACAACAAAATGTACTCATTAACCGATGGAGGTTGTTTTTTTGTTGCCTATTCACGGGTTACACAAAGTTATTGAGAAACCCACACAATATAAGTACATAACAGCCAGTAGTAAGGTGAAAACATACAATTTTCTGATTCAAACCTATTAACTCTTTCAATATATGAAAAATCGACAAACTGACAAAACAATCCCACCCTGAATCTATATATTTGGCAAACGAATATGCGCTCTTCGACTCATTCATACAACCCACCAATGCTTTCAATTTTTTTTGGTTGAGTTCAAATAAAAGAAAGCAAGACAACTGAAGAAATTTACAAAAACTACCAATACCTTACGCTAATTTGTTGCAAAAAATTTCGTAACTAATGGCATAAAAGCAAAATCTAATGCAGAACAGAGTAATTGCACGACTGAAAAAAGTGTGATATACACACCCTATAAAATATTATACATATCAATATTGGAATATAAATTCCTTAAAATCTACTTAACCTATCTCCAGGTTTCGCCTTTTCATAACTTGATTACATCCGTAAATTCATAAAGTTAGAAATAGCTGAAAAAAAAAAGAAGACTTCTCAATTTTTCTATAAAGCCAAGAAGTATTCCTGGAAAAGCAAAAATAACAACAAAACCTAACTACACTCATGCCTTCTTCTACTAAATAGGCCTTGTACAAAAAATATACACGCAACAAGTTCTAAGTGAATAAAAGTCCTTAAAAACAATGCAATAAATGTCACCTTCAGAGAGTTAAACTCGAGGCCTAAATATTCAATATAACCAACTTACAACAAAAGTGAATTCGAGATAATACATTAACCAATATTAAAAATTTTATTGCAATTAAAGCTAATGATAAGAGAATGTCCATGTAAAACGTTTCCAACAATCCTACAAGCCCGGAATGACGAGAAGCAATAAAACACAAACACCCCATCACAGAAACCACAGATCGGCAATACCCGTAATGCCTATCAACCACTGACCCTGAAACATTAATTCCGTTCTTAAAATATACTAACAAAGATATAAGCAACACCTACCCACCGCAAATACGAACTCCAAAAGTAGAATTCAAGTTTTTCAAAATTTCAATTCTGAACCTAAAAGTGCGCAAAGACCTGAAATTCCAATGCATACTTGATATGCACTTAGTAAACAAATATTACTCCACGACCATGGCTGCAGTAAAAGGCACAATATTTCCTAAGTCCATTACCTCTCAACTCGACACTAATTTTCAAAATGTTTTGCATGGCAATTCAAGGTAAATTATCATTAACCATCACTGCTCCCTGCTATCTAGACTACCCTCATGCTGAAAATTTCGAATTCTTATGAAATCTGCATACCCACATTAATCTCCAAATTCTATACATAAGTAGTTTATCTATACAGAACAACGCAGGAGAATCTCATGGATTAAACTATTAACATCAATACTTCTTACCCATACTGCAAGATATCCATTCTAGAAAACTTCCCAGAACTAACAAACTCGCACTACGAAACTTAGTACCGACAACAGCACCGAATATTACAACATAAAATATATCTCGTGCTTAACGCAATTTTAAAAGTTTTTAGTGAAACATAAACGATATCTTTATAAAGCATATGTATTTATTTGTTTTTAGTGTTGTAACCGTATTTTCTGATTAAATTGCTTCATATGTCAAAACTCAAAATATATTACAATTAAGCTTTTGACCGCTCTTAAAATTTCTAAAATGGAAGTTTTTTGCTTCTAAGACTCCGACAATGCTGAAAGGATTTAAAAACTTTCGTGTTTAGATAGCACCGCATAATTAATACTTTTACATGTATTTTGAAAATTATAATTAAAAAAAAATTCCTCTATGAAGTTTGTTTAGGAAAAATATAAGATTTTAAAATTTGCATGTCAGCGATTTAATGTTATACAGAATCCCATATTAACAAAAGAACATTTTACTGGTGGATTCGAGCAACACAACTGTGAACAAATTTTGACACTTAAAATAAGTTGCGGATGGTCTGATGAATGAAATGCTTTTTCAACACTTATTAGATTACATACTTTCTCAGTACCTACTATATTATGACTCAAACCACTGTAGATAAGCCATCACCCAATGACCTGCTATGGTGGAAAAATACTATTACGAAAGCGGGAGCAGCAGCAGAGCTTGAGCTTCCCTTAACGAATACTAATAAATGGGCCGACAAAGCCACTGAACCTTTCTAAAACTATTTATACTTCATAACACACCTATGCAGCACCACCCGCAACTGATATTAAAATAGGATTATTTTTTTTTAAATGCATATTATTACTTAGGAAGAACAAAATACTTAACACTGAAAATTTAAAAGTTTAACACTGGAAAAATTTAATTTGTGCTTTTTAAAAATTTGTAGATCTCAGCGTGACCATCCAATTTTCTCTGTCATCACTTTCATTTGTGTTTAATTTGAAGATTGCCGATAATTTAAGTTTAGCTTTTATGTTTGAGTGAGGAAGCTCGATACCACCTGTAAGATAAATTATGTTTCATCGCATAAAATATATTATTTTTATTTTGCTTACTCTTTATGAATATTCTGAACAGCTTGCTTACCACATGAAGTAATATAACAACTTCGGAATAATAGCCAGCAACCCAATAGAAGACAAATGATCATATCAAGGATTACATTAACAGATTAATAGATGATTAGAATCATACGTCACAGAGAATATAACATCGCAAGCAAGCTGAATGAAAGCAAACATATTTTGCGAAAGAGCAAAACTACCTGTCTAAAAAACCATTTTGCCACTCTTACCTGAATTACGGAGTCGCTAATTTCTTATAAAATAAAACTAACCATATTTGTATTGTTTAGAATGATGATGAAT